TCCTTCGCTCTTCGTTCGGTGTGGTTCTGCAACTTTTTTTCTTTTGAAAAATCTGGCCTGGGAAGCTGTTAGTAAAAAACTTTTTCGCCTGCAGCACTGGATAGGCCAGCAAAAAAATGTGCGTGCCCCCCCACCAAATTTTGGCTTCCGTCCGAGCCCGGCTCTGATGTAGGCCAGATGTTTGTTTGTTTATTTAGAGGCCAAACAAACAGATTTTACAAGAAAGCCATAAAAATTGATTGATATTTCAGTGTTGTCCTCAAGGCAGTCGCGAAACACGGCCAGGAACTGAACGCCCCACAGAAGACTTGTGTCCCGAGTCTCCACATTGCCGCTGGATACGCAGATGCAGATCAATCCCCGTTCACCACTTACTCGTACGATGTGCGCGATCCTCTGAAAATCACCGTATTGAGCCATTTATTTCCTGCAATGGTATATTTAGTACTGCGGCAACGGCGGACGCCCCCAAGGAGAAAACTGTGAACCGCTGCCAATATGTGCCCAGGGTGGTCAAATCCCGTACGCAATTTTGGGATGTCCACCCAAACTGTTTTTTTTCAGGCAGCCGCCGTTTCTCACAACGGTTGTGCTCCATGCAACGAGCTGTGACAAACCATGCGAATATCAATACGGTGCTACCTACGAGGGATGCGTCTTCTTGGATATCACGAATCCGGGAGGAGCGATCCCCTACTTTACTGCTCGTCGAGCTTTGGTGAGTTGTACTGGAAAGATGCGGGCTTACTTTTGATGTGTTTCCGGAACTAAAGCCCTCAGTTTCTTTCAGTCTGGGCCGTACGCCGCGTTGATGGACGAAGAGGAGAACCTACTACTTGGGGCAGTGGAAGAGACGCCGGCATCGAGTACGGCAGCCGAAGCTCCTGACCCCTCCACTACGGCCTCTACTAGAAATGGCACGGAAGAAGAGCATTTCTCTCGCGACATTCATGAGGTACGGAATTGATCTCCTTCCCTTACTTGCCCTTGATCATGACCATTCCGAGAGACTTGCCCCGGGCTTTATTTCATTTTTCAGATATTTTCACCTGATTTCGATGGCCACGGTAACCGCCGTCATCGACGCCAATCTGCCCAGCAGCCACAATACCCCCGCTGCATCGACATTTCCGGATTGGCGGTAGCCGCGGAAAATCCCTTAGAGGAAATTTTGCTTTTCCAGGACGAAGACCGGAGGCGCGTTGAGCAGGACGAGTTGTTGAATTGCAACAAGAATATCTTTGTCCAATTCCGGAACGGGGACAAGACAGGGCTAATCCTCAACCCGCCACCATGTCAAGGAAGCAACGACAGTGTATGTTTTTTTGATCTTTTGACGGCTTTTCCGAGGAGCAACTCGGAATGCAAACTCGTTCCAGCGAATCTGCACAAATCGACTCGGTACCACCAGCACCTCCCCGCCAAATGTAACTACTACGGCCGCTGCTCTTGTGTCCAGTGAAATGCTGGTCTGGCTAGGTGCAGGTGAGCGATGCCGTTTCTTCCTCAGCTCAGGCCCTTTCGCATCCAGAAACTGCTAGCTTTAGGTGGTGGCGGCGTGTTCCTCCTGATCATCTGCGGTGTCTTGTTAAGCTGCACATTGAAGAGGTTTCCGAAAACTTGTTTGACAAAATCTTGAGTTTTAGAAAGAAGCAGGAGGAGAATCTGGAGAAAGTGGCGGTCGTTTCGCAAACTACTCCAGCCGTTCCTGGACCTCCAGCCGCGGTTCCCGCACCGATCCCTGTCGTTGCTGAGCCAGCTCCCGCAGCTCCAAAACCAATCGCGGATGTTGTAGAGCCGACCCCGGCCGCTCCCAAACCGCCCGCAGAAGCTGTCCAACCAACACCAGCCACTCCCAAAGCGACCCCGGATGCCGTCAAATCAAAGTCGGCCGTTGTCGACCCGACCCAACCTGATCCCGAATCATCCCTGAAAAAGCCGAAATCCGGAATAGTCGACCTTGCCGACGGTCACTACCAACTCATCGCATCCAACATCGACGGTGGACACAAAGCGCATCTGAAGACAATGGTAAGAGGGTTTGGAATTCTTAAAGGGGTCATGCCGGCAGACATGTCTTTTTTTCGATAATTCCTGTGCTTTGGAAGTCGTCGGCTTGCACTTTAGCGTAAATTGCATCCGATTCTCTTTTTTTTAGACCGAAGGAACTCCGCACCCGTTAAAATGTGAGGCGGGCCGCTATGAGTTGGCTGCACGCGGGTTCGCGCTCAGAATCGATCTCGAGAAACTGGTGAGTGCCAGTTTGGTAAACGTATCATAAGTTCAAAAGAAACCGTCCTTCGAACCTTGTCTACGGTTCGATTTTTTCAGCAAGGCAATCAAGTGGAACCCGCCAAGGAATGGGCACCCAGATCATTTAAAGGCAAAGTGCTGAACGGGAAGGTGGTGGCACAGAAGATTGTCGACGAGTTAGGCAAGGCCTGCTATGTGGAAGTTGATGACGGAGTATGTTTTATATTTGAAAAAGGATAAAGAAAAAGCTAAAATTGTCTAGCTTTTTTGCTGAGTGTCCGACTTAATCGATTTCGTTAAGGGGGTAGCGGGTAAAGCACTTTCAAATACGCCCAAGTCCAGGTATTTTTTGAAGGGCTTGTCATGGGAAAGCATCGAGCAATATTAGCCGTTTTTACTGTATTTTCAAGACCTCGAATTTTGTTCCCGCTACGGTGTAAACATTAATGCAGCCGCCCTTCTACAACCCGAGCGCCGACGAGCTGAAGGCTTTGTGTGACTCGGTCGGGCTGAGGTTCGAAGCCGAGAAAGGAGTGGCGAGGCCAAAGGGAAGAACGATGGTCGTCGGGGATATCCACGGAAATGTGAGCATCTCATTGATTAGGTGGTCATTTTTATGGTTGCATTTTTGCGACACGCTATCCACAATTTTGGTGCTTCCAGTGTAATGGGGGGGGGGTTGCTTTAGCGGCGGTTTTCCAAATTTTCTTTGTTTAATTTAGAATTTAGTAAAGTACTTGCCTAGTAAAAAAGCTTAGTTTATTTTAATAACGTTTTTAATAGTTTTCGGTACACAAAAATTATGCAACATTTATACTGCAGTCGCAAAATCTAGGGTTTTTGCTCGCTTTTAACCATATCCCCCGCTAAAAGAACCGCCCCCGATAACCTGGAAGGAAGCAACCCAATTTTCAGTTGAACGATCTTTGGCGCGCGATCCATGCTTGGTTATCGGATGTGGTCGACAAAGGACCCAAGCAAAAGTAAGTTGTTGTAGCGCGTCTGCTGAAGCTACACTACAGGGCGTCCTAATAAAAAATACCTCGTCTAACTGGGCGCGGAAGTGTCGGATCGGAAGGATAGTTACATCATTCGAAAGCCATTGAAACGACGAGTGGCAACAATTCACAATTATGTTGGCATCTAAGCGCCATTTGACAAGCCATTTCGTATTTTGCGGGTTTTGGGGACGAGCAAATTTTCCTCAATTTCTGCAAGTAAAACGGCGAAAGTTAACGTTAATTAGATGCAGAGACCGTTTCTCGATGTTTTTAAATTAAGTATAAAATGACGTGTGAATGGAAAAAATCGTTTGGGGTTTGTTGCAAACTCGCCGTTTCAATGGGTTTCGAATGGTGCAACTATCATTCCGATGCCATACTCCTGCTTCGAGTTAGAGAGGGTGTTTTTTTATCGGGACATCCTGTTAAATGGTTCAGCATCGTCTTCCTCGGGAATATTGTTGATGTTGGCCCCCGTCAACTCGAATGTCTGACTCTGATCCTTGCCTACAAGACTCTCTTCCCCAACCAGGTATGAAGCACTCATTTATTTATTCAGCCCTATAGGTAAAGAATGAGTTTTGGCTTCTAGGTGTGGATGATACGTGGCAGAAATGAAGACGCTACAATTTGCAAGGTCTTCGAAGAGTGCCTCGCACTTCGCGAGTACAGTGGAGGCGTGTTCCGTTTGTTTGCCAACTTGTTTGCCAATATGCCGAATGTCGGACTGATTGACGGCCGGATTCTCTGCGTGCACGGCATGTTAAGTATGTTTTATCGACTTCATGATCTAGCAGGTACAGATCCGGGCTGTTTCAACGACCGAAAAAAATTTCGCAGAAGTAAAAAAATTCGGCTTTCATCGTAATCTCCCAAATCATCACCTGTTTCAGCACTCGATCTGACCAAGAAGCTCCTTAAAAATGGATGGGATCCGGAGAAATACGAGACCATGAACAAGCAGCTGAGATGGAACGTTCCCTCCGATCAAGTCGAATTGTGGGTTAGGCGTGACTTTACATTTGGGGGGGGGGTCTTTCGACCTTGCCTATTTTTTGTCACTAGCCATCCAAAACTCATTTCTTTTTCGCTTAGAGTGCAGTTTATCCCCCCCCCCCAGACGACGCTCATCTTTTGTATCTCCTTGTTCATCTACGGGTGTGTAAAGCATTCCAAACTGTTTGTTTTGCTCTGATGAATATTTTGGTATTCTTTACACACCTGTAAATGAACAGGGAGCTGAGATACGGTAGGTGGGCTTGGGGGGAGGCTTGGGCTCCGAACAAGTCGAATTGGGAGTGACGCACTGCTTTAGTTAAATTTGTGGAAAATGAAAGTAAGAAAGTACGAAGTAAGCCTGGGTTTGGCTAGGGCATTCTATGTTTCGATATATTGTTGCCTTGAAATTTCCTTTCCTATAACTGGAAAATAACTTTGAATAGCGTTTTAGTAATCGATAAAAAATTGATAAGATTTTTACGTTTAGGCATCGTAAAAAAATCATTTTGAAACACTGTCACCATTTACATTTGAAAACTGAGAACCTAAAAAAGTTGGTTTCCCCGATTTCCAGTTGTCTTTTAGTTGCGAGCCCAACATGAGTCGCGATTACGGCAACCGCTTGGGGCCAAAAGCCATCAAAGAGGCGATGGAGCGGCTTGGCGTCGAATTCGTCATCCGCGGTAACCAGGTAGGTAGCACGCTCTTCCTAGCGTAACGAAACTTTTAATTACTTTTTCATAGGTCATGACGAACGGCGTGCAACGGTTTGGAGATATCCCGGTGGCCACCGTCTTCACGGCATCCTGCTTCGAGAAAGAGGTACACACTTACCGTACCTATCGAGGGAAACCGCGCTTGACAACGATTTTTCGTTATTATTGTTTGGAATCGATGCGCAAGCAAAATGCCTACGGATTTTCACTTCATAGCTCTCAAACCTTTCCTTTGTCCCAACAATGGGAAACTTCGCATGTTTAGAAAAATCTTGGCGCCATCCTGTTCGTCGACCCCGAGCAGAACGCCATCATGCCGATCTTCCTCGTCAACGTGAAGGACACCATCAAGAGTAGGTTGTAATATTGAAGCTGAACGTGCTCTGGGACTATTCCAAATTCTCATAATTCACAGCCTTTCAACCCTAGCTTTTATTCCATTTTAAGATCGTTAAATTTTGGCGAAAAGCCCGAAAGATGGCCCGAAAAGAAAGTACTGTTAGCGAAAACATCATCCATTTTCTTTCAGCGCAAGAGGAATTCGACAAGAAGCTGGCTGACGGATGGAAAATCGACAATTATGCGCAGGAGAAGAAGTGACAGCCACATCCATCGCTCCGGACGGAAACTCAACCCCCGTCCCCCCCCGCATCGGCCGCCTATATACTCGTAAATATCGATCATGTCGTACTGATTCATTATCTCGTGTGTGCGTATGTCTTTCTGGAAATAAACGGCTGATAGCTCCTATTTTGCTTTTATCTACTTTTCATTTTGGCTCTTACCGAATTACCCAGCCGTCACGACATGCATCCAATGCGAGCAGGCCCGTAGGAAGGGGGGGGCAACTGGGGCAAGTTGCCCTCCCCCAAAATCGGCCGAAGGCCGAAAAATTCATAAGGGTTATGAATTTTGCCCTATTTTGCCATCGGCCGCCTATATGCTCGTAAATAGGCACACACGAGATAATGAATCAGTACGACATGATCGATATTTACGAGTATATTTCAACCCTTATGATTTTTTTCGTGAAAATTTTTTTGCCTGGGGCGCTTTTTATAGTTGTTTTTAAGACTGTTTTTACTGTAATGGCCCGAAGTTTTTCAAAAATGTTCGCCTGCGGCGCTGTTTTTGAATAGTTTTGATACGTTGCCAAAAAATTTTTTTGCAGTTGCCCCCCCCCCCAAAATCGGGGATCGCTACGGCCCTGATTGCGAGAGATAGAGAGGGATAGATAGATAGTGAGCGAGAAAGAGAGAGAGAGAGAGGGGGGAGAGAGAGAGAGAGAGAGAGAGAGAGAGAGAGAGAGAGAGAGAGAGAGAGAGAGAGAGAGAGGGAGAGAGGGAGAGATCGGCCCATTTCGCTAATCCTGCTGCGAGCAAAGAACATTAGGTTTCTCTGGAAAAGGAGCGCTGCCATGGAAACAAGATGAAAGCTCGAGATGCCCCATCGAACTGTTCGCGCCCAATAAAATAGGCAGCAAGGCAATTAATGAAAACACCTACCTGTCTTTTTTTAAGAATTACATTTAGTGCTTTTGGTCCTGAGATTTTCTTTCCGCGGCACTTCGACGCAAGAATTTAAAATTAAATCCACATTTTCTAAAGCTTTTTTAGTCCTTGTCTTTATATTACATCTTCATGCGTCTTGGTTAAATTATACTCCGGAGTAAATGGACTTTTTAGCTGACCCTGCTCCCGGATGAGAAAAAGAAACCGACGTCGCCCTCCCAAATCGGTACGCGAAAATACCCAAAAACCTGGTCAGTCCCTTTCATTAATTGTTGTTATAGGAAGTATTTTTGTTTCACTTTATTTTTCAGTAGTCCCATTCCTCTGTCTGCCCACGCACGCTCAAGAACTGATTGCGAAACACATCGATGCCGACGACCTACGTACCCGTTTCCGGTTGGCCCGTTGCTGTCGAGACACCTGGGCGGTGGTGGCAAATGCGCCGAGATCAGCAAGCAACGCCGTCATCTTCGTCAAGGATGGAGAGCTAGCAATCGAAGGCGTATCCGAATCGGACATCGAAAATGATGCTACCGTCTCAATGATGTATTCCAATTCTGAAATTGAGATACTTTCCATAGCGGGGACGTGCGAGAGCTCGCAAGCCAAGATAATAAGCTCAAAGTTGAAAGCTCGGGAGCTGCACCTGGAATGTCTGCCCCAATCGCTCGACTTTCTTGAAATTGCCATGCCAAAGGGTGGCTATCAGAAGCTGTCGGTCGCGGACTGGCGGCGCGCGGAGCATCGTGCCATCTACAAGTTTATGACGGACAAGTGTGACCAAGTCGTTGTCTGCAAAGTCGATGACCCGGTCGAATGGCTCCAGTGGCACGGCAAACGACTTTTTATGCAAATCGAGGCGGCCGCGCTGCTGAGGGGCAAACGTTTCATTGGCCATTTGATTGTGCAATGGCTGGCGGGCTCGAGGGAAATCTTTTCTATAACAGTCACCGATTCGGTGTGGTATTACTGCATCCCGACTCGGCTGCAGAAGACGAAATTCGTGCGTGCGGACGGACTGACGTTATTGCTGGAAAGTGGGGATTCGCTGCATCGCCTGACGTTGCGACCGACGGTTCCGTAAGAAAGCTCTGGAACATCTCACTGAATTTTTTTCTGATAAATCTCGTTCTTAATTTAGTTGCCAAGAACTAAAATTGCACTGCATTTTTAGAGACCACAGCCCGGAGGGAACCAAGCTAACAGGTTACCCCAGCAAAACAGGCATGCGTATGAATGTGTGTAACGCACCGGAACAGGATGTACAGAGTAGTGCCCCGTACGCACAATCCTCCTCCCAAATTGCAGCATTACGTCTGGTGGCTGCTTGTTGGGTCTTTCTAATTGTTTTCGAAAGCCATTTATTTAGCAAGATTACTTAATTTGCCTTTTTTCACTTGCTTAGTTGTTTGGGTTCTTTCCTTGCAGTTTTATTTATGTCGAGAATTTTACGAGAGAGTTAAGATTATTGCGATCAAGAATGCAGCTCGTTTAATGCAATAAACAATTTAAATAGTTTTACGACAACCAGAAGACTATTTTAAATTTTTTTAGAATATTTTTCGAGACTGGCGATTTGGTTGGTATCGATTAGATGATATTTGCATAAAGGCAGGGGGATAGCAATATTGATTGATTGCGGGGTTTTGGGCCGCACCAGGCAATTTTTATGCGCGTAATTCGATGAAATCGATGAAAAATCGCTAAATTGGTTTGGGATTTTCTATATCTACGATACTGGCAGTTTTTTGCCTCCATAAAAATCCTAGCATTTGATTGTCCAGTACTTTGACCATTTTTGATCAACGCTCTAGACCCAAAAAAGGCTAGGTTGCTGGAATCACGGATTATTCCTATTTTAGCTCGATTCTAAGACCTGTGAAATTTTGCCCTATTATCATCACTTATTTTATGCTTCACGAGACGCGCTTTAATTCATTTATTCTCATTCAGTTAATCAACCGATTAGATCAATCTGCCCAATAATCAAATTTCGCGCTTCTTTCCAAAACGGCATAAAAGGCTTTTTACAGGCATGGAGTTGGTATGTCTCCCCGCCCACGTACGAGAGCGAATCCTACACTACATCGGGTACGACGACCTCGAGTCGCGTTTCCGACTGGCACGATGCGGCACCCAATATTGGGAGATGGTCAAGAACGTGCCACGCCACGACTCGAAATATACGCTCACCGCCTATCCCACCCACTTTCTGGTGCACCACCATGCGTGGTTCCGCGAGTTTTTGTATGAGCTGGATAGTGAAGCCACGGTTGATCTGTTATTCTCCCGGGCAACGGTCCCCGAATTGATACTCAACTATCGCACGTTAGATTTTACGGGTATCCAAGCCCGAACTCTCACTATAAGCAGGATACCCGGGAATCCTGTATCTTTTCTGGAAGAGCTGCGGCCTGAGGGTGGCTTCGACAAGATCGCGACCTGGGGATTGGCCCCAAGCAAGGAACTCTGTGATTACGCCACGAAATACATACAAGAACTGGAGGTGAATGACGCACCAAATTTGTTGGAATGGCTGTCCTGGAAGGGGATGCAGCTCGAACTGGCTACAACGTCAGCAATTGCCATCTATGATTTTGCCGACATCCTGATCGAAGAATGGCTGGGATTTAAACGCGAAATCATCGACATTTATGTGCGGCCCCCGGCACGAGAATATTTGGTGCAAAGGACCGCACCGGGTTTTCATCGCCGATCCGACGGGCTCAAACTGATGGTGGATTCCAACTATCTGGGAACACGGCTGACTGTACAGATTTTGCGATGGCGGCAACAGGACGACTTATTGGCGTAATTTATTTCGTAAGGTTGAAATAAAAATGTGCATATATGGATGATGTAAATGCTCAATACGCAGGCACATTGTATAGATATCTTATAAAATTATGTTAATTATGTTATAAAGCACATGAAATATCGTCAATTCATTTGAGAGGATGGTGTGATCCGATTTACCTAATTACCTAATTACCTAATTACGATTTTCATAGTGCCTTTAAGAAGCAAAAATGAAAAAAAATTCGATTGTTGCGTTGTAAGCTGCTCCTGATGGCATGTACGTAGTTTGAACTGCTAGAAATCGTTGTAATTGCTCAAAATCCCAAAAAAATATATCCCTCCCTCTGTCCCAAATGTGTGCTGCAAAATGCTAATTTTTGCGGCCCATCCAGCTTTATTTGATTACGGATACACAAATCGCTTGAGGGTAGGATGACGGCTTCGCGGCAGACGGAAATACCGGCGGTCGGTCAGCCGAATTTTGCTCCATTCATCGTCCAACTTTACGATCAAGAATTGGCCGTCCGCCCGTTTGAGGCGGTAATAGGTGGCTCGATGGGAGGGAATGTAGAGCTTTGGGTATTTTTGAAAGAACGCCGGCGGGTCCACGCCCTCAGGCCTTGCAAATTCGGACAAAACAGCGCTACTACGCATTTGAAAATTGCCCTTGAGCCATTCTTCGGCGTAAAGTTGTGCATTCAGTTCCAGCGGTCCATAATGATGCCCCCAGGCCCAGGCATCGCATGTCGGCGCATCCGGAGGTCCTGACGTAGTACCCGGGAGAATTGTTATCTGACCCTGTACAGATGCCTCCATCCATTGCACCAATCCGCGTTTCTGCACAAATGGCTGGGTGCTGTGCACGCAAACGTACTTCCCGATCGGCTTGTGACGTTTCAAAATCCGACGCAACGACACGTACGACAGTCGCAGTGACACGACGTAGGCGCGGAGGTCGAGGTGTCTGGGGATTCGGCTGTAGAGCGTCAACCGTCTCACGGTACAATTGTGGAAGAGCAGCTGTATCGTTTCCGGGCTTCTAATTTCTGGCTGGTACTTAGTGTCGAACAGCAGGAAATGCTCCATCCCTTGGCGCTGCTCAATTTCCACGTCCCAATATTTGTCACCGCATGCCTTGGCCGTCGCCATCATTGCTTTGCTGGTGATGGCCACCTTGAAGAAGCTTTTCAGGTCCATGTAGCGCAACATTTCGTGCTGAATTACGGTGGGTAGCGCGCCAAAGTCCACAGCCATCTGAAACAAAAAACCATGGTGGTTAAAATCATTTGGCAAAATATCTTTTTGACGAAGTATAATTTTGCGAAAATCACTCTTCAAAATTTCAAATTGTCCAAATTTCAACGCCTTTTTTGCCTGGGTTTTCTAAAAAGATCAGGCAATCCAAATTTAGCGTATTGAAGTTTTGACGAAACGATATTTGCACAGAGTGATATTTCGAAAAATAAAATTTCGACAAAATGAGATTTCAACAAAATGAAATTGCGACAAACTGAGCAATACTTTTGCATATCACGGCACCAAGTCTTAACAATCAACCTCGTGTTGTCGCTCCGCAAAAACTTTCACGAGTCGCCGCTTCAGCACGAGGTGAAGATGGGTATACAAATCACGGACGCATTCCCAGGGATGGCATGCCATTTGGATGCGCTAAATAGCGGCTTGTTGACGTTAAAAATGAAGAAACAGCCATAATGTCGACTGAAATTCAAGAAGTTACTAGCGTAACGAAATTTGAATCAAAATGTAATTTTAGGTACGCGGGCGTGGAAAATCTGGACTGGAGTATCGCATGTGTGATGCCTTGCCTATTTGCGCTGCAGCTGGCAATTAACGGGCCACCAATCGGCTGGCCGGCCCAGGGTTAATTTCAGGGGTAGTGCTGGAGGCGCAGGTGTATTATCGAAACGGCCGTTGGACCGAATCAAGGTGATTAACTTATGGATGAATTTCATTTTAGCCTAGTTTTAGTATGTAGGAAACCTGAAGGAGATGAGGTCGACAATAGACTCGGAGATGCTCTCACCCCTCGAGAAAGTGAGAGAGAGAGAGAGAGAGAGAGAGAGAGAGAGAGATAGAGAGTCATTGAAAGCAACCATGTCGAAGCATTCAAATCTAGTTAAATATAGCAATCCGTACTTCATATAAACCTATCTTGTCCTTTGTGAGCCCCAGAAGACGTAAAAGATTTATTCATTCATCACAATACACAAAATTCCGAAACTCTTCGCTATTCAGATCTCCTTCGACGAGCACGTTCTCTCGGCCCGAGATCCTGACACACCGCAGTCGTGCCCAGAATCTGACGATCAACACGTCGCCGTCGTCGCGTTTGATTCGGTAGGAATGGAAACATCGATTTTTGAAACCAAAACGATTTTTTCAGTGTTGCGCGCAAACTCTTTGCGTACCAACATTGGTCAAATCAAAGAAATTTTCAATGTTGCGCGCAATTCATTGCCCTCATTGCTAAATTTCTGATCCAAAACCTTTACTTGGCTGAATTACTTCGTTCAGCATATGAATTCCATATGCTTGCGAGGTTTGTTGAGGTTAGGAAACTTGATTTTCCTCAATTTGCCATGAAAACAGCTCAAACCCTCTTTGAGAGCGGTGAGTGACCCTTTCACTACGTGTGAAACTACGCTCGCGGCACGCATTTGCGTGCGCTTTTCAAATTTTCAATACAAAACCGTTTTTGAGAGCAGTGAGCATGGTTTCACCAAGTGTGGAAAAAGGCTCGCGGCACGCATTTGCGTGCGCTTCTCAAATTTTCAATCCAAAACCACTTTCTGATCAGTTTTCGGTAGCAATATGAATTCCGTATTGCCCGTTAACTGGGGAAATCTGATTTCCTTGTGTCAGAAAGCTTGAACCAAGCCAAGAATTCGGCACTGAACGTGGCGATTGCTATATTGGTTGCCCTCTCTGTCGATATTCATAACCAAAACGAATTTATCGACGTTGAGCGACAATTTTTCGCCCTCGAAGATGAGTTTAACAGGACAAGTCTTACGATTGCTGCTGACGATTGCTATATTGGTTGTCCGCGTCGTAAGATTTTACTGAGTCTCCCTCTGGTTCTACTTTCACGGTAGAATCAAACAGTTCCGTTGAGAACAGTGAGCATAGCTTCACCATGCGTGAAGTAAGGCTCGCGGCATGCATTCGCGTGCGTTTCTCAATTTTCTAATCCAAAACCTTTGGAGAACCGTGAGCATAATTTCACCATGCGTGAAATAAGGTTCGCGGCATGCCTTTGCATGCGTTCTTCAAATATTCAAGACCCGTCAACGTGCCACAAGCCCGAAACGTGCGCCCAATGGCAGAAGTTCGTCGGATCGCTCGCCAGAAGAGCTCGAAGGGCGTCAAATATCGATCGTCGGCGGCATTGCAGCGATAGTCTAGCTGTAAAGTCGCTGGCGTTGATGCGAAATGTTCAAGTTCGAGGCTGCTGGCGCCGGAGATGGTGCTCGTCGCCTTTGTGCCGCGGCGAATCAAGACTTCTGCACTACACTACCGATCGTTAAAAACGAGACGTGGGCAGCAATGTCTGCGCTGACAGGTCGCACTACCCAATACCAATCTTTCCTCGATGTTTGGCACAGCAATAATGTGATTAAATGTCACCTCTTATTGATTGTTGCTTCCTAATTTGTATAGGGACATCGTTGAAAAACCCCAAAACGAGTAGAAATTGCGTGGAGTTAGCAATTCGCTAACAAAACGTTGTTTTTGAGCTCAATTGCACTTTGGCAAAAACGAATTTGCTATTCGCAAAGTAAAATTTGCGTTTAGAACAAAGAATACGATTCGTTTGTCGCTAATTCTTGGTACAAATTCGTTTTTGAGCTTGGAAACCTCGCGTTTCAGGCGGCCAAACGTGCAATACCCCAAAACCAGGAGCATTGAATAATGCATTCAACGTTTCCTTGTTCTATTTTAAAACCGGTATGAAATTTAGGTAGTTTTCAGGCATTCGGTCGAACTTCCGGCTAGCTTGCCTGCTTACATACCTCTGTTTCGTACACAGAACCCAATTCCTCAGGCGTAGCCGTTCGTTCGGTCGAGCGCACGCTCGCAAAATTTCTTTTTGTTCATCGAGCAAGTCTCGCGCTGAGCAAAAGGTAAATAGACAATGCATTTTGTATTGCCACGCAACTTCTGAAGTTGCGGCGGAATCCCAAAACCTGAAGTCAACACCCATTCGGCGGGGAAAGGAGTGCAAAACACCTTTTTTCTTCACTCTGCTTGCGCAATATGTTTGCAAAAGCGAGCCGTCGAAGGCAAATACCAATACCAGCAGCTCATCGTACGCCGGACAACACTTGGATCGACTCTACCAGCCCGCCGACACGTGTTCAAGGATATTGAGGAGCTTCTGCGCAGCCTCTACGGCCGCGAAGCGTCGATACCTCGTTCGAGTCGGTGCTGCGAGTCATGGATCGGTATATGAAGGTCTGGCACCGATGATTTCTGCATTCTTTGCAAGTAAGCTTTTGGCATACGGTTTCCTGACGACATGAACTCCGTGTTACGTCGGGAATACGTGATTTGTCAATGGTTGCTAATCAAAACCATGGTTAATAGAGAACTCTGTTTTCCATATTCAAAACCAAGGTAAAAAGTAATTTCTTTTCGGTTGCGCGCTCATGGAGCCCAACTTGAAATTACCTTGCCGCCCAAAACCAAGTCCGTTCGCGCGTTTCATACCCTTTTTGAATCGCGTTGCGGCAAATTTGTCTTTGTTCATCTCGAGTAAAGCTCGGGCGCTGGACAGATCCAAGTATTACAATGCTTTCGCATTGGCGCGGAACCTTTCCGAAGGTGAAGCGATAAACCAGCACCCAACGCTTGCTGATCAGGGGCTTCCACATCTCATTGTGCGCGTTTTGCTTAGAAATTCGGCAATAGGCGCACACGATCAGCAAACGCTTCAAAATACCAAAACCTGTTGATCGCCAAGCTTGCCGCGCATTCGAAGTCAACTTCGCTGCTCACCTGCTCCAAGGACGTCGACGATGGTTTGAAGCCGCCGCCGCCCAAGTGCAGCTTCAAGGATGACTCAAGGCCAACACTGCGCTACGTTGAGCATCGCATTGCGCGGTTGAGGCTGCTGGTCAACTCAAAACCAACGTACGTTTTCTTACAAGCACGAAATCCGTGTGTAGTGAGAATTCGTTGCGTCGAGCTTTTTATACCAATACAACGCAAGCCATTTTCTTTCCGGCATGAACTTCGTGCTTGTAAGGAATTTGGCTGTGCAAAGTTTGCTTTGCGTACAATTTTCTTTGCGTTTACCCAAAACCGAATCGAATTCAAGCAAGTTCGCTTGCCGCTTCTCTTGGAAGCGTGTTTTGATTTGATTCAGCATATAGGTAGCAGCAAGTCTGCAGAACCGACTTGCTTGCTTTGAACCAAGTCAATCGGCGCCCGAGTTGAGCAATCACTCGCGTGCGTCAATGCATACCCAAAACCGAGCTGCCGCTGACGTTGGATGAGTACAGCGTCGGCGCCTCGCCCCTTCTGCTCCTGCACAAACTTCTTGGTCAGGCTGGCCTCAGCAACATCATCGTGCCGCATGAAGATGGTCAATTCCTTTGCGCAGCCGTGATGGACCAGTGGCAGCAGTAGCAGAGGTCAGTCACTTGAACTGCGGTGGAGTCGGAAGCCTCGGCCTTGCGTACGCAAGTTTCCTTGGTATTCCGCTTATGGCTCCGCAGTGTTCATTTGATAAACCAAAACCAAGTCACCTGGTGACTTTTCTCGCCCTATGTTCTGCATAGAGCGCAGAACTTTGTAGCTGCTCTTTGTTTCGTCGGTGTGAGGGATGCATCGCATCACAACATCTCCGATGCATGTCTCTCTTCCCCCGCGGTGGGAGAGAGCTGGGCAGCTGCAATCGATCCCGACCCAGAACCAAGTCACATCGTGACTTTTCCGCTCTATGTTATGCATAGAGCTCAATACCGTACGGCTGCCTTGCCTCTTGTTTCATTGGTGTGAAGGATGCATCGCATCGTAGCATCTCCGAGGCGTCTCTCTCTGCCCCCTGGGTTAGAGAGAGAGAGAGAGCTGGGCGGCTGCTAGATCCGACCAATGCCAATCGGCTGCCTTGCCTGTTGCTTCGTTGGTGTGAAGGATGCATTGCATCATAGCATCTCCGAGGCGTCTCTCTCTGTCCCCTCGACGAGAGAGAGAGAGCTGGGCGGCTGCTGCAACCAATACCTACCAGAACCGGATGTCTTTTGGACCAGTGCTGCTGCGGTGACTATAGTTGCGCCGCGTAGTGACCGACTTACATCCACAACCCAGTTTCCTTTTCGTGCGCGCCTAACTTAGCAGCATGCCTGCAACAGTTGGCATGTGGTAACGGGCTGGTAACCAGCACAACCTCTCGATGCTTTGCGTCGCTCGATGACACAACGGGCATGTTTACAGCATTGGAGAAACACAGTGTGTCTTCCTTCATGATGCGCCGCCTCTACATCACGACCACAGCCATCAACGCTGAAGCTGCGTGCCCGTCCTGCCGGTGAGAGCTTGCATGGATCTACGCGCCGGTTAGCGGAGATGGTTCTATGGCGAGTTGGCCGCGACGCAGTGAGGAATATAAGAGGTACGTGATGCTTCCTTTGGCGGGCACAGCTACGGTTGTTTGTCCGTCAATGATTGAGCATTCGTTTCCTTTAACCAGTACCGAAATGCGCCTTTGGGCCATTCAAGACCAATATGTTCACGCTTGCCCAGCAAGCTCGATAGCAGCAAGTCTGCGCGTCGAGAACATCCTGTAACCAATTCCTTGGCGTAACCGGCTGAGCACAAGCATAGCTTGTAAGCAGTCAGCGCCCCCGTGAACCAATACCAACCAGGCCGGGCAAGTCTCAGCACCCGCGACTGGTTCGTAGCCGGAAACCCCTCTCGTCAGCCATTCAGAGCAAGTTCTCTGAACGTGTTGAAGATGATGCCCGGTGATATGTCTTGTACCAATACCTTCTGCTTCCTAGAAGCAACTTAATTCAACACCTCAAACGTGATGATCCGTGAGCAATGCTCGTTAGCGGGGAATGTTTGAAAAATTTTTTCTTTCAGTTCAAGATGGCCAGGCTCGGGCAAGCCTTTAGACTGGCCACCAAAGGGTTGAAGCATGCTTCTCCCTCTTCACCAAAGTCTTGTGAGAAGGGTCTAGTCCCCTTGCAGTCCGCGGTGCTACTCAAAACCTGGCTCCGTATAGCCAGTATGGTCCACAAGCCGCTGCCCAATTCAAGTCCGCGATGTGGCTGCACTTAAACGACAAGTTCAACTACATGCCTGTGCCCGGATCAAGTCAATCAAGCCAGCTCCGCCGTGCTCAAGGGCCACTACACCTATCTGTCAAGTGCACCACACCACGCCACCTATCCAAGTTCAAGCAGCAAACAGTAACCATACGAAGTACGTGTCCCCAGGTGGCCCGGCAGAGGTACGGGCCTCTTAGCGCCGGCCAACTCCCCATCTCCCTTTTTTATAATCTGTATCCAGTCCCCTGAGGCCCATCCCCTAGTTACTAATACTTTGGTCCAGCCCGCTCCCACTTTTATCATTTTTATATGAACCATTTCTATTCTGTGTTGCTCTATCTTCACATACCTATCATTTGCGGTCTGTACCTACCTGTGTTCACAACGCAACACCAAACCAACACCAAGCTGTCGGCGCCTGTTGCCGAGGCCCCCAGGGCTTCTACGAAGTTCCCACCAAGACCGCTTCCATTCAACACCTTTCCGCGCCCGACCGGCACCAAGTCCCGAGGGTTCGACTCATACCTCGACTTGGAGGAGCACACCCAATATGGTCACATCGGCAGCCAGGCCGGAGGATAACCAAACCTCCCCTGGTGGGGCATCGCCCTCGTTGTCCTTGTGGGCCGGGAGTGTCGAAAGTATCATCGCGAATTCCCTAATTCGGATGATTCATTTCGAGGGATTTGAATGGGGGCATCCCTGGCGGTGGGGTCCCGCCACGCTCGCCCTGTGCGCGGCCTTTCCTACAGAAGGGCGGCGCCTGGGGGAGCGATCCAATTCCCTCTCGCGGGTTCTCTCTTTTTGGGAGAATCCTCCTTGGCGAGATGTCGTCTTTATGGTGGTTTCCTCTTCCATGTGAAGAGGGATTGCCGACGGGTTATTCCTTAGGGAATAACCTGGCCTTCAGCCTTTGAACCAGAACCGTGTTCACCGGCCCCGAAAGGGGCAGGTGTACATTCCGCATCTCTCTTCCTTCATCCATGGCTCTCGGTGTATTAATGGTTCTAATAAACTCTCCTTACTATTCTCTCCAATAATCACATATCAGCCATATGCAGTAAACCGTCAATCTAAATCCACTGAACACAACCGATGCCTCTATATGGGGTCATACTCTCATTAGGGTGACAGTGGCAACCTTCCTCATATAGTTGAGTCTATCCTATATGGGGAATGGAGTGTCTCCCTTTTGACACTGAGAGGGGGCTGGGATTGAACCCGCGCCGGCTCCGGATTGGCACGCCGACGCTCTACTCATTGCCCCACGGGGCTCCCAGGCGGAGGGTCCGGGTTCGATTCCGCGACATTGAAATAAGGCTAATTTCTTTTTGCTCTTTTTTGCAATCGCTTCAACTCGTCTTCTAGATGCGATCTGTTGTCTTTGTTTTTCCAAATCGGAGATTTTATATTTTTGGGGACCATTTTTGACGCGTTTTTGGCGTATAAAACGCGTTGTAGCAAGTGGAGGGAAGCTGGTTTTCGAGTAAACGACACATGTATCGACGTCAAAAAAATATGACGCATCTTTCTACGCTACTTTCATGGAGCGCAGAAAAGACCGTTTTTTATGGATTCCGGGAAAACCACCTCGAGTACGTGATTTAACCATGTTCCGCTCATTTTTGTGTTTCGCGATGTATTAGATAAGGTTATTAGATAAGGATTAGAGAAGGTAAGGTTTTAAAATATAGAATAAGAGCTCAGTAATTTATCAAATGTTTTTTTAAAGACTAAGGTTATAATTTATAACTAACTCCTGCTCTATGTATAATAAATGGCAGTCTTAGCGTGAGGACATTAAGGTAGCATAATCTTCAGCGTCTAAAATTAGGCATACACACGAATTTTTAACAAATTCCCTCAAGTCACTATCGAGATAATTTTTTGACATCGGCAACTTTAGCGATCGATTTAACCCCGAAATTAAACTTTTAAAATTCTCAAAATAGTGCCACTCCACTAATTCAACCATGCTCTTTCAGATGGCGTCAAAAAATAGGCTCGAAATAAACTGTGCCAAGCCTTGTTCGGGTGGCTCGCAAACGGCCTTTTAAATTGTAAATAGCAAAATGATTGCTGTAGTCGGGAAGAAGTTATAGCCGATAAACGACTGGTCTAATAGTTTTTCCACAAAGTGTATACGAGCCATAATAAACCTTTTTAAGTTTTAAGATACTAGAAACCTGAAAATGCTAATCTCTGCTTTGCAACAGTCCATTTCTAATCGCTTCTTATCAACCTGGGACCATTGCCCTTTAGTATTGTGCGCCAGTCTCTTGCTGTCGCAGTCGCCTGCTGTGCCACGACGTAGATTGATGACACAGTCCCATTCCCCTAGTGCGGCGCTATTGATTGAAGCCCAGTCTTTGGTCGTGCATTATTCTAACACAATAATTTGGCCGTCGTATCTTGTGCGATTCGCGGCGCTATCGGCCTACAGTCTCCAGCTTTGCAGTCGGCGAGACCTTGACTATTTTGTTTCTTCAGAATTTTTTGCTACCCTCTTTCACTTAATTTTGAGAAGAAAATATTGTTTTTCATTAAGCTATGAAATTTCTGTTATTTAAAAAATCTTTAATATGCTTTAGGAAGTCAAAACAACTAGATGCTTGTAATTACTATTTTACACTAAAAATGCTTACGTTTGGCAAAAAAGTATTTTCTAGAAATCTTTATCTCTTGCCATTCTGGCTAGATCATTGCTCTTCTTCAAATTTCGAAAGCTATGTACGTCACTGTCCTCAACATTTTTAGTATTTAGAAAACAGAATGATCATCTCATTTTGGAGGGAATCTGGAGAAGCCGAGGGAACGACCGACGAGATAACGATGGATCAATTGGTGAGGCTTCGAGAGGGAAAAAGGAGAGGGAATCTTATACAAACCATGGTTGGCCATGTGGACCCGTGACGTCATGGGCCAAAAAAGTGAAAACACAAAAACTGGCATCCGGACCTTCCGGATTTTAGGCCATTCAAAATGCTTTCGATGGTCGATCGATCGATCGATTTCGATCCGATTTTTGTGGATCAAAACATATTTCAAAATTCCAGAAATTTTTGAAGGTATCCACTGGGAGCTTCAGCGTTTGGTGGTGTTAAGTGAGAGAAAACATGACCTGAAAAGCCTAATCCCAAGGAAGAATTCCAAAATCAGTAAATGTAATGCCAGATGATCAGTAGGATCACCCGACCGATGCGTGGTCATGATCGTGGTCATGATCCTTTCCTAGTTCTACTAGCTGACGCTGGCACCCTCTGCAAAATTAAAGCTACTTTCTTGTTTGTTTGTTGGTTTTTGGGGTGCCCTCTGAAAGGATGATTCAACAATGCCCTATCACCACATCACCCTCTCGATTTCCCCGGTCTCGCGCCCTACCTCTGCCGGGCAGCCTGTCGGTGTCGGTGTCGGTATGTCGGTTTTGTCTTTTGCAAGGCATTGTGGTCCTAGTGCGGTTCGTCCAGCTAGAGCCCAGCTTGCCTGCTCTGCCATCTCTGACAACCCTTGTTATTTAGTCGGTGGTTCCAAAGCCGGAAAAAGTCCGGACATCTTCATGAAGCTGAGATCGTTTTTTTGGAGTTGAACGTTGCGTTTTTTCTTTATCTTGGCCATGCATTAGAATGGGCCAAACAGTCGTGGAGTCCTGGGATGTAATCGATACACCCCCCTACCCTCAGCCAATTTTTGTTGATTTTGTAGATACCGCAAACAAACCTTCAAATTGACGGATTTTTCAGAGGTTGCGATGTCCGACAATCCTCAGAAGACCACCGACTTCCAAAAGCAGCTAGAGGATGGCCAACAAAGTAGGGAAATTTATTTTTATTCTGTCCGAAGGTTCTGCCGGAATTGAAGGGGCACTGACCTGCCAACCGATTACGCATTGGAATTTTAAAGAAGCATAAAAGACCTGGCGGTTTAGGAATTCGCGGAAAACCTCCGTCCAGTTATCTCCCATTTCATAGCGTAAACGATTGAACATCATGAACGCCGGCTGATCAATCCCTATAAACTAAAGCTCTTTTCAGCTCTGCCAGTCCCGCCAAAGGAATCGTCGAGTTGTCGGCGACTGAGTATTCAACGGAGCATTACTTCCCGGCATGGTATGTCCCCTCTATCAAGCAAAAGCCTACAAATGGTTTTAGTTGTAGCAAAGCCCTACGACAGACCACCACCAGCCGGACGTCCGGCTCAGCAACAATATCCAGGAGGAGCACCCCACAATGTGAGTTGGCCCTCTAGCTTACAAGGAAGCGTTTTTGAGTGTCGTCGGAACTTTGGGATGGGAATCGTGTGCAGAATTTTGCGCTGATTCCGAATATAGTTACCGTTTTTGCGGAATAGCCAATTCTCGAAAGTTATGAGTTATTTAAGACAGAAATAACCACAAATCGACCACTTTCGTTAGACATAAAAGGCTTCGGAATAGGTTTTAGAAAAAAAACAGTTAGTGCATCTTAATCAGGAAAAATTCTCTATAAAATAAGTTACTTTGCCCAAAAAAAACAATTTGAATTTTGAAAATTTTGATAAAACTAGGAGAATCAAAATACATAAAAATTTTTCTATTTTTGAAAATTTTTAATTCAAATGGTACATCTTATAGCAACCTTTTTTGAACAAGATGCACCAACCGTTTTTTCCTAAAAACTATTCTGAAGCCTTGTATGTCCATCGAAAGTGGCCGATTTGTGGCGTCTTTCGGTATAGATAGCTCATGACTTCGATAATTGGCTATTCCGCAAAAAACTCGCCATATTTGGAAAAAGCGTAAAATTCTGCCCAAGATCGGCTTGGACCCGTCTCGAAGTCCGGACGACACTCAAAAACGTCTCCTTGTTAGCTCGATGGCAGATGGGTGTCCTCTGAATTTTCAGCACCCTAAAATTACAGATCCTCGGGCATATTGGCTCCGCTTATTGATGGACGGTTGGTAGAAGCACCCATAATTTTCATGTTTCTTTTTCCTTCCCACCTATCGCTCTCTAATAGTCCATAGACCTTAATAATTCCTTGGGGCTTAGAAGAATACCAACCACTTTTCAGGGCTTCGGTATGGGCGCCCTTCAGCAGCAACTGCCGAGCAGCTCATTGCAGGCTTGTGGCAAACAAAACGCGCCGATGGCTGTGGTGCAACCGTCGTGGGATGAACGTATGTCCTATCTTGATATACAGAGTGTTCCGATAAAAAGATCCATCCGGCCTTTCGCCAACTTACACCCAATCGGCCCCAAAATTGGACCCGACGTGTATTAGTAATTAAATAACAACAATCCTGACTTGTAGCCCCAGACCTACAGTGGTTCTCGAGTTATAGCCAATATACTGTGTTTCCCGCAATTCTACCTTTTTTTGGACTTTGCATCCAATTCCAGCTGTTAATCCCTAATTTCGCTTCCGAGGCCTGGACCCGATCGGGGCTATTTTGCGCTACAAAATCGCTTAAATCCATCTTTATTTCACTAATTTTAATCTGGAAAATAATTTTTTAAGATAAAGAAAGCTTGCCGAACCATTTTCACTTAAGTTTGTAAGATTGACGATTCTCATGCAAGCCCTATGAACACGAAATAATTCATTTAATTTTTGTTGTAACCCATGAACTGCTGTAAGTTAGTCAGGACTGTTGTTACTTCTAATACCCCTCTGATCCGTTTTTGGGCAGATCAGATGTGACACACCAAAATCATAATCACATGCCTCGTTTTCAGGTTTCCCGGTCACGAGCGTCCGAAATGTCGATGGAAAACTCTGGGAGGACTGGGGAGGTTATCGCGCATATAGGTTGGCCTCGTACGTGGTGGTGTTACTAAACGCAACATTTAGGAAGGACATGCAGGTGCTCGTCGACACCCAGGGTCTGCCGCCACCTCCGACACCCAACTTGCTTTACTCCCAAACAAATGAGGATGGGACGGCGAAATCAGGACAGAAGGTAACTACCATCCAGTAATCCAAGTTATCGCATTGCCATTTAGCGCATGACCGCCAACGAGTTGAATCCCTATCTGGATATTACCGACGAAGATGTCGGGAAAATCTACAAAAGAAGACACTTGAATCAACCGGACGCAAATGGAATGACCGGGAAAGACAAGGCAAAGGAGTTGCACCCCGAGGTAGTTTTTTAAAGAGAATGACTATGAGTTATTTCCTAAGGCATAACAGCTAGGCGTTGTGGCGGTGAGGTTGCTTCAGCCCTGGGATGGTCTTCTACAGGGTGGCCCCAAAAAATAGCCATCCTTCCAGCGGGCCGCAGTCATGTCCGATGTGGGCGATTTTGGTAGCTATCGAAAGCTCTCGGATAGGCAAGAAAACCAGCACTTTTCTTTTTAAATTGTATAGTCATTTTTATTCATCGAATTTAGGACCAAAAACTAACCAAACTGGAGATTTTATGCAAAAGCCGCATGTTATTTGATTGCTTAGGTTAACAGGAGGACGTAAATTTCACGCTTTTTGAACAATCGTTCCATATCGAGCACGGCTTTGAAAATTTAAAACCAAAATCGCTCGTTTTTTTCACTGTTTCAAGGCCTTTTAAATGGGGTAAAAATCATCCGGTCATGATTTTTGTCCCTACCGCTAGAAGGGATCGCTTTTTTGGGACACCCTATAATTTTCGATAGCGCGAAATTCCGTAACTTGTTGGTAAGGGTTGTTTGATATTAGAGGGATGACGGGGTTGTAATAGAAAGCGATGGCTTATGGACATCATCGGAAATACACCATCTTACAACATTCAGATGCGGAAATTCTTGGAGGCTTGGAGAGAGGCCGATGATGCCGGAAAGCCAGCCGCCGCGCGCGAATTCTGGTTGTATCTTATCGGGTAGGCGTTTTTTGGAGTGAACCGATTCTTTAACAATGCTTACAACCGTATTAAGTAGTGGTGAGGCCTGAATCCGCATCGAGAATATATCTGGACGATTGCAAACGGTTTCAGGCGCGTCACCAACAATCGACCGTCACAGGCGAAACAAGGCAGGAGGAACTTGCGATCGGTAGGCCTGGCCTTCTATTCTAAAAGTTTTGAATTTTTAGATTGCCAGCGCAACGTCCGTTGCGCCCTCAAACAACCAGACCGAGATGCATTGGGAGTCTGCAGCGTAAGTGTTGCATTATGTTCCGGTTTTTGTGTTCCGTTTTGGGTTTAACAGATAATTTCAGGCAACCAGACACAAACGAAGATTACAATCGGTTCCAAGACGTTGAGTCATCCAACAGCTCTTTCGACTCGTTGGGCACCAGTACGGTCGGTTTTTTATGACGGACGTAACCAGGGGGATGTGATTGAGTGAGAGAGACAGGGAGCGAGAGAAAGAGAGAAAGAGAGAGGGAGAGAGAAAGCGAGAGAGAGAGAGAGAGCTGAAGGTATCGAGCAACCCTCCTTGATTTTAGGCAACAAATACCCATCAGCCGGCTGAAAACCCCCAGCAGCCCAGCACCTCTGCATATCCCAATCCATACGCCGCCACATCGTCCCAAAACCGGCCGCCCGTCCCTCATAACCAGCTTGAAAAGTTAGTTTTCCAAGAGCGTTAATTGGTAATAAAGATTTTTAGCAATCCCAACCCCCAGATCTATGGCGATACCGTCACCAGCTACACCTCGTCAACTATCACTAAGCAAACGGTTTTCTCGGTTTGCAACCTAGCGCAACTAGTACACCAAATTAACGATAGGCCCAAACGGATGGATGCCCAACTGTCGAGGCACTATCTCAGCTTGAGCTTGTCGGGCTCGTCGATGCGGACCGGCAAAGCATCAACGCCATCGCCCAGCAGGCTCTGAACGACTTCGACGCTGCGTTTTACAGTAAGTAAAGAATATTCGTAAAATTACTACTTCAAACCCAGCCGTGCAAGTGTGTATCGTTTCGCTTCTTAATACGCCCGGAGGAGCCAACCGTGCGTTTGCGCTTCACGACCAAATCGTCGACAAGCTTAGAAGTAAGTCTTTTTTACCTTGTTTTTGTTTCGGAACGGGAATTGTTAATGCCGCGAATTGTTCAGAATGCCAGTTTGAAGTCGCTCAAGTGCATGAAGGGAACCGGTCGCCTGCAGAGGTTTGCTAAGGATAGCTTTTACTTCATACAGTTGTTTTTCAGCCACAGCACGCACGAAGCGATGGCTCGATGCCCGAGCCACCCTCTGGGTTTACCATGCACGACGGCGATGTTTCGAAATAGCCTTGCTGACAAGGAGTGGTTTTTTGTTGATCCTCGATTTGAATAAGCCTATTTTATGCAGAATTTTACGCGGATTCGAAATATGTTTTTAAAAAGTGCTGAATTTTCAAGAAATTATGACTTCTTTTAGTGCCTAAAAAGGTGAAAACGTCCTACTTTCAACCTCCCGAAAAACTCATAGAAAAAGATTTTAATGAAAAGCTTTAGCCCACTTTGCTCAGCAAAAACCGCTTTTTCGAATGGGCTCTCACGCACAGCTGTCCCAATAAAAGTTCTCGAGATTTTGCTGCTCAACAGCAAAAACGATGTTACAACGGCGTGGTCCTGAGCATGAATTTTTCGAAATTTTCCGAAATTTTGAAAAGACGGTGCATGATAGTTCGTTCGAAAGTGCATTTTTTTCTGAGCAAGGTGTGGAATCTGCACAAAATAGACTTTGTATTATGGAACTCTAGGAGCACTAAAGAACCACTCCTTGTGAGCCTGTTTCAACCCCTACTTTTGGCCCCTTGCTACCCCCCCGCCCTTTTGGCCCTTTGCGACCCTGATGACTATAAACCCCTTTTTCTCCAGACCCAATTTTTCCCAATCTCTTTCGCTCCGCAAATCCAGATTCTCAATCTCCAAAAATCCTGCCTCACTCGATGCCATTCCAGCATTTACCCTTGATAGTTGTGCTCCCATCTGGTCCCATGCAGGGGCCTAGCGGTATAGAAACCCCGTTTTCGAAAATGCTAATCGTTTTGATTTCCCCGCCTTGGCCATATTGGTGTCTTGCCCACACCACAACACCACCACACATCTTGCCCACCACAACATCTTGCCCACACCTGTGCACAACACCACACCTGTGAGATCAGTCCTTCTTGCATCCACACTTGTTTATCTCAAAATAGCTCTCTGTTTTTTTTTTTGCGTGATAGTCCTTGTAGTTTTACTTGGATGCGGTGATTTCCGGCTAGTCTGAGGTTTTGCTATTGTTTCTGTTTAATAAAGTTTTCCGTACCTAACTAAAATGCATAGCAAAATAAATGAAGCAAAGCAGAATTCGGGTGAGCTTCAGGTGGCGCAGACCTCTTCACTCGCTGCTTGAAGCGACGCAATCGAACTGTACTTGCACGCTGCACCGCTTGAAGTCCTTGCCAACACTCCCTAACAAAGACGCCTTAGTAAGGCGACCGCTTTTTAATGCCGCACTCGCTGTAGATCAGTTGATCTTCGGCTGGAATTTTGGGCTTTCAATGGTCTGGCCAGGTCTGGCAGCACCAGCGACCGTCAGTTCGGCTGTCAGTCCATTTAAACCGTCCTGATATATCCCTGGAAAGCATTACTTTCTTAAAAAGTCTTTGCAATCTCCTCACGCTCAAAAACTTGAGCTGGTGACGTCGATTATTGATTGAAGGAAGGGGAGGGAGCCTTGGACCATTTTCTAATGCAAGATTTTGCACGCAGCTTTCCCCCGACATAGCATTCCGGACACAACCTCTCCCTTCAACGTATCGATCCACGGGTCTAATACACTGAATATGGAAAATTCCAAGACACGAAATTACTTTAGTTATTGTTTTATTGTGCTTGAACTCCTTGTTTTCGTCTACGAAAGCCTTTGCGTAGAAGCAAAACCTGTAGCCCAATTAGTTTACTTTACGTCCGAATTCTACTTAGTTTTTGAAGCTATAAACTTCATGAATCAGATTTTTAATGAACTCCTGGCGGTGATAAACCGATATCCACGATAGCTTTTGCTTCCCTGGTATCTTCATGTCTTTAGAGTGAATATTATTTTTACAAATTTCAGCCGTGATGAACCGAGAGTGCACTTCAATGCGCATCAACCCTGAATCCGTTCGAGGATGTTGCCATAAAGTAATGGTTTTGGATCATTTTGTTCAGGTAAGCCCAGCCCCCCGGGGCGAATGCCTTATGCAAGCCTTGCCACACGTGAAACGGCCCTCCGCTTTCTTACGTCACCGGTCCAAAAATCAGTCCCCAATTTTTCCAAAACAACTCAAATTACGAAACAATGCCGAAATTTATTTGTACACTTTATGTATTAATGATTTTTTGATGGCTTTTTCGCCGTCGGTAGAGCTGGGCTTCGACATTGTGCTTCGGGAAATGTGGGGGCAAAATCTTTGGGCCTGACTGGCGGACACAACGCGCTATCATATACGCGTCCCACTTGTACCGCTTTTCCGTTCATACAGCATTTACGCATTTGGGCCACAATTGTCCGTGAAATGCCTCGGAAAGCTTGCCCGTATTAATTTTTGTCGATACGGTCGAAACCCCCCTTTATGATAGTTTGATTCATTTACAACCGTTGGGTGAAATTTACGGCTCTACAAACTTTTCATTTCTTTGGGGGTTACGGTAAACGCTAGAGGCTGTATGTTTTCTATTCATCACCACCTTAATAAAATAGAGAACACTAAGTCAATACTGGAGAAAGCAGACCATCGGAAAAGGCAGATTTTCTTGAACCTTAAAATTTTGAATTAATTTGAAATTAATAGGAATTAATCTTTTCTTGGTCTTGCAGGAAACTCAGACGGGCATCCGCCATGTCGGATAATAGCAATCGATTCGGCAACTGGCAAGATGAGATTGGAAATGCGGTTCAAGGTGGGTCAAATTTTGAATGACAGAAGACTGGAACAGAGGTGCTTAATGATTAAAAAACCAGCGCCCAAAACCCGCTTCGCGGGCCTTGGGCGCTGGAATGCGGCCTTTGCATGAAAAGTTTGACTTTCTGATAGCTCGGGTCCTTCGGACCCCCTTCCCTGTCCCGACCAAACCCGCGAGTGCAATTTGCAAAAATGAGGAAATTTTTATTTTTTCACAATATGCAAATTAGCCCTCCAGGACCTCAAAAATGAATAAAATCGCCTTTAACTTTGTAAACTTGTATTTTATCGGAATTCTGAAAACACCATCGGATAGAGGAGGGTCGATTCCACCGAGTGACAAAAAATTGGGGCGTTTTGAACACGGGAAGGCCCTCAAATCGGGCCACGAAAGTGACATCCACACACACACACAAAGATACGCGACCAAATTATATAAGGTAGGATCCAAAAATTATAATCCTATATGGATATTCGTAGTCTAAAGACACCAATTTTCCGTTTTTCTTGGGAAAAAGTACCAGAATTCAGTTAATTGATTTAACTTAGATTTGACGATTTTGACGCAAGCAGCTCGACCAGACGCGCGTCTACCACGCCAAGCTGCTTTGACCGACGTTCGGAATATCGCCCGTCCCCGAAGTTCCTCCTCTTCCTCCTCGCAGCTACAGCGTATCAATGGACCTTCCGGTTCGTTTCTGCCTTCTGTAAGTTTGTAGGTTGTAAGTTTTGTTCTAGACCCGGCTCTACCCTGATTTTAGGCCGACCACGAGCAGTACGTCCTTCTCCGTATGCTGCACATCCAAATGAAAGACGCCAGAGGCATCGGGGCGGCGTTGCAGCTGCTCAAGTTGTAGGTTAATGCATTACTTGCTTTGTGGGGACAGCTTTTACACGATACAGTCTTTTTAGAGGAAGCCAGAGATTGTCGCGGAGCCTCCGCTTCGGCCGCTTGAGTCTAACACGACCCCAAACGGAGCTGATACGCTGACTATGGAGGTGCACTTTTCCGGATGGCATACGCTGACGGTTGGAGGCGATGGTAGCATGTTCCCGGTGAGTTTAATGATCGACGAGGCCACATTAATCTTCTAAAAACACATTGTTAGCGTTTTAAAACAGAAATCAATTCGACTTTTAGGCAAACGATGACCGAGCTCGCGTACCCACGGAGCACGAAAATTTGCGGGACCGGCTTCAGGAAGTCAGAGAGGTCGTACCTGACGTTGTAGCCCCATTTCGCCAGGTTTGTCCTTATCTTCCAAGAGAAATAACAATTTTTTAAGATGCATATTGCTGCTGAGGAGCCGCGAGTGGATCTGGACGAGTCTGATGGCTTCATCTTCGTCGAACGGTAAGATTTCGAGAAGTCGGCATTTTCCAATTTTAGGACAGTCAATGAAGATGACGAGATCAACTAGAAATCATGTCCTCTCGTCCAATACGTGTTGTGTAGTCCCAAAAGTAGCTTTCCCAAAAATTCCTACCTCAACCCCATTCCAAGCATTTCCACGATTACTAGTCATAATTACTCCTTGTCACCACTGCCAACAACCTCCTAGCGCGTTTATTCCTAGAAGCGTCCGTTCACCACGTTGACATTGCTGATTCATTTATTGTCTTGTTGATTTTTAATGTTGGTTAAATTGTAATGAAATCCGGTGGGCCAGGTTTGTCTCGTTACAATAAATTTTATTGATCAACAAATTGAAGTGAAAATTTAAGTGAAGAAACCATAAAACACATTTTTAAGGAAAACGCGTCAACTACGACTTGACGCTACTCCAAAAAATCCTGCTTCCTCCCCCCTGCCATGCTTTGCATTATCGACAATTTTTTTAATAGACAACTTCTTGAGGGAGGAAGGTTAGAAAATGAGTGAGAAAAACGACGTAGAAAGCTCAGCAAGTTCGCAAATATGACTCACAAGACTGGGTTGTAAGTGGAAAACGGGGACACTCGTTTCAAAACCGGATAACAGAGGCAAACCGTAAAATTAAAGGCACTGGCGACCATTGTTTTTTAGGGAAGGCCAAAACTCGGGCAAAAATTATGTGAAAAAGGCAAATAAGGAACAGAAATACAGAGTAGGCAAATAATAGGAAAAGCAATCGAAAAAAATTGAAAAAGCTAAAAGAGAAAGTGAAAAGCTTAAAAAACAAATTGCCGGCAAAGTGCAAATCTCTAGTGAAAATCCATGGTAAACTGATCAAAATTGAAATCAACGTCAGAGTAAATTAAAATATAGCTAAACATTAAGCTGCTACTCGGGTTCAACCCGTTCGTAGGGAACCACTTCCGGGTCGTACAGCTCGATGACGCTGCCCCAGTCATGCAGTTGCAGATGCTTCCCATCTTCCCGTTCGAACAGATGGCCAAAGATGTTGGCCATCGGATGCACCTGGTCATTCTCCTCGTCATCCTCATCCTTCGAAATGGCCAGGCAATGGATACGACGCTGTCCGCGCCGCCACTCATCCACCATCGCGCAAATGTAGGGGATCACCTCTCGGTGGCTTCTCGCTCCGATTCTCAGGTCGATCAACGAATTCTTGAACGGCATACAGTCGACAAGCAGTCTTCGCGGGTTTCCGAGCACAAGATACTTTGCATTAACCCGGCAAAATTCGACAAACTCGTCGGTGTCCTCGTACTGCTTGAATCCGAGCTCTTCGAATTTCTTCCCGGGTGGCTTCATCTTCTGCGCCGATTCCAGCGTCAGCGAGCGTGCGTAGAGCGTCAGGGACTGGAAAAAATTCTCTATCATTTTATAATTGACTTTCATTGTGAATTTGTAGGGCCCCAACACTCTAATCTTATATGGAACATTTGCACCATATTAAAGTGTAGAAAGCGTCTAAGGATTATAAAATTTTTTGAAAACTTTTAATTTTTACATATTTTTCTTGTTTTTAAAAAGAGTAGTTTTAAGAATTTTGGGTGCATTTAAGCACGATAAAATAGCCTTGCAAATATTAAGTTTTTATTTAGTTAAGTAGATAGAGCATCCCCCACTGACAGACAAAATCCGGTACGCTTACCGTAATTCCCTGAATCCATGGCATCAGAGACTCGACGTCGTTCTCGTCAATCCGAATGCTCTCCACCTGGTGCCCAGCCAATAGCAACTTCACCGCCTCCCGGCTTGCCACCGACATCCCGCGATTTTTTCCCCAAACCCGCGCGAAAGGCACCGGCTCGAAGTTGACGGCCCCTACCGGGCTGACGTAGACGTTCACGCGCAGCTGTCCTTTTCGGCGACCCTCGACCATTTGCCAGGTACTGCGACAAGCGCAGGCGAGCTCGAAAAGTGACTCCAGTTTGTCCGGCCCGATCGCATCGAGGATTCGTTGCTGTACTTCGTAGGGCATCTGGCAGATGATCGGCACCTGGAACTCTGCATATTTATATGCATATAGCTGGTAATAAACATTCATATTTAGGTCGTCAGCCCGAGATTTGCTATCGTAATGTCGAAATTTCAAAATGTGGAATTTTTTTGTATAGCATTCAGGGAGATTTGTTGCTGGAAATTTCCGACATAAAGAAGTTTCGGCATTATGAAGTTTTGACATTATTGTTTCGGCATTATAAAATTTCGACGTTATTTTTTCGAGTGTTGCCGATTTTTCGTTTAACCCACTACCTCCACATCGGCATCCGGAACCGTCTGAATCGCCACCCACCGCTTCCGCTCCCGCTTTTGAAATTTGCGGCGCATCCACGCCAACACCTTCCACGCCATCCGGCCTGACTAAAATTTATTTGTGCGAAAATGCGGAAAAAGTGACTTAATTCAAATTTTAAACCAACAAATGCGTAAATTGTAGCAGAATGAAATGAAATGGGCAGTAATGGAAAATATCTGAGTGACCTATGGTGAGATAAAATAGAGAGCAATTCGAAAATCACACAATTTTCAGCGGGGTTTCAGTTTTTGGGCTTTAAAGGGTTTGGAGCAAGCCACAGTCAAATCCTTGAGACGGCCTGTATAAGTAAAGTCAGTAAAAATCAAAAATTGAAGCGTAATAAATGACGCGGCCTAGCATAATTCACAATTGTATGTACAACACAATATACGAAAAACTACATCAAAGAAACGGCGTCAGATTCTTTTGGATCCAATTCAATCAAATATCCGTTGCTCGTCGTTCGATACAGAATTTTCTGCCCATCATCCCTTTCGTACTCCGCGGAGAGCGCAGACGGAGGTCTTCTAGGAGACGCTATCACAATCTTCTGAATATCCCGCTTCCCCACCATCCATTGCGCAATCACCTTCTGCACATAGCTCTCCCTTTGTTCTTGTAGATGTTCACAGATCTGGATGCGTTGATTTCGGTTTTTGAGTATTAGGCAGTCGTTCAGACTTTGAGGGTGGAGGATATGGATGCTCTGCGCGACATCGGAACCGAGGCAGCAGTGAGCGGCTGCCTCGAACCGCCGGAACTGTACGGCTTCGAACGGTCGGCCCTCCGGCTTCAACGCTTTCGGCCAATGCATCCTCAACGTGTTGACACCCAGAACTTCAAGGGTCAGCGCCTAGAAACCGTAATGAGCTTTTTTCGGCTACCAGTTCATTTGATATAGTTAAAACAAGCTCGGTCGCTAGGCTATTTAAGAGCGTACCTGTAATCCCGGCAACCTCGTCGAATTGCAGCGAAACTCCGGATCTTCGATGTAAAGTGTCGGTACGATGCGGCCAGCAAACAGCAAGTTGATGGCGTCAATCCCGCGTACGTTCCAGCCGTAATGATGGCCGTGGTCGGGCAGACAGCCCGATGGGTTACTCGCCCAGATCTTCCCTTTTGGCCTGGCGGTCAGTAGCAGATTCAGCTTCTTCTCTGGCCGATTCCTGACCATGATCCAGGTGGAGCGGCAGGCTAGAGCAAGTTGAAAAAGCGCCGGCACATTCTCGGGACCGATGTAAACGAAGATTTCGGCTTGGACCTCGCGTGGGAGGTGGCAGATGAAGGGTTTCTGAAAGTGAGGTTTTAACGGTTTTACCGTACCTAATCGCATTACTTTTCTCTAAAATCCTCTATATAATCCTTTTTCATTAAATTAAAGTTTAATTTTTGTATTTATTGATTCCAAAATTTGGGAGTATTTTAAATGGCAGCTTAAAGGGTTTTAAACCTTAGACCTCTGCGGGATTAAAGGGTGAATTCGATTTTCTGGAGCATTTTCCGCTTAAAACTACGTTTCACTTCGTGAATTTGTAAAATTCTAACTATTTTTATGCAGTTACAACTACTTTTAATAACTGGGTACTTCAGACGATTGTAATAATAATTTACTCGGATTTTGTAAGAAGAAATTTTCTAAAGAAACTGTCGCCCAAAAATCTTGAATTGTTCCACGATTCAAAGGTTAAAAATTTGATTAATACATAATTTTCAAAATATATAAACCCATTCCAAAACTCAACTGTTAAAGCGGGCTATTACTCCGGATTTAAACTTCGGACAACGTACCTCGGCATTAGCATCAAAGCGCAAAATGGATCGTTCCGCCGGCGGTGGCCACAAGCTTCTGATGAATGAATAGAAGCATTCCAAGCCGATCATAATGGTTAGCTGTCGGTATAATTAAGCAGCAGCATGCAAGAATATTTTAAATAGCCTCCAATGTTTAGGAGGCAGTGAGGAACAGAGTTAGTGAATGACACCAGCAGTGGGTTGACAAGTTCGCGCGGCAGTGCCGTAAGTATCGTTTCTTGGCGGGGGGGAATGGCCTAGTGATGGCCATCTGCCCCCGTTTGCATATTGATTGCTTGCCATCGAGGGAAGGGTCTATCATCCTTGCGAAATGGCGGAGAAACGGTGGTGGCGGTTGTTTATGGGAGGGAGGAGGTGCTGTGGTCGGTATGACACGAGGGGCGTGAAAAAATAGTTTAGGAATTGCGGAGATTTAGAACCTAACTTAGAGAAATGAGGGTTGAACAGTATACGCAAAAGCTCAAGAAACGCGACAGAGCGAGAGAGCATAGAGAGAGAGAGAGAGAGAGATGAAAGAGAGAGAGCGAGAAAGAGAGTTTGCGAGAGAAAACATATAAAAAGAAAACAAATATTGATAAAACTGATAAAGAAGAAAAGTCCGGTAAATCAGATCAGATCGCTACATGAAATGAGCCAGCAATCACTTTTCCGGCCCTGAAAGCAGGTGTCATAATCAAACTCAATTTCCGGGTCACCGAAAGATAACCTGGACATACCCGTGCACTAATGAGCACCCAACTCAAGTCAGCGCGTTCCCCTAATTTGCATAGATCAACCAAACTAAACTACTCGCCTTATTGAGTACTAAAGAAAGCGAACCGATCATAATCAAAAGAACGAAAAAGCTATTCTTAAAATCGAAAACGGTGAAGGTGACGTCGATCGTGAATTCAAGCTTAATGCACTCCACATAATGACTCGGTCGTCTCCGTCGGAAGTATGGGTAGGGGTCGGAATCTCGAAATTTCGGAATCTCGAAATTTCGGAATCTCGAAATTTCGGAAATATTAGCAGATTCCTGGAAGCAAAACTATTATGTATCCAAATTTTTCAGATACAAATACAAGATTTCCGATAAAACGAAAAGTAGACCCCCTCTAACTCGACGGAGAAGCGTCGGATCGGGATGATAGTTATACGATCCGAAAGCCCTTGAAACGACAAGTTGATAAACACCTTTTTTCAGAAGGTCTACTTTTCGTTTTATCGGAAATCTTGTGTTTGTATCTGAAAAATTTGGATACATAATAGTTTTGCTTCCAGGAATCTGCTAATATTTCCGGAATTTCGAGATTCCGAAATTTCGAGATTCCGAAATTTCGAGATTCCGAAATTTCGAGATTCCGAAATTTCGAGATTCCGAAATTTCGAGATTCCGAAATTTCGAGATTCCGAAATTTCGAGATTCCGAAATTTCGAGATTCCGACTATCACCCCTTCCGACGGCATCAAGTTCTTTTTAGAGAGCTGGTTTGCATTTCGTCATTCACGCCCATCCGAATTTTGGCTGCCGGGATTATGGCGCTTTCATGTGAAGTTTTCATGGTTAAGTGCGGTTTTTTAGTTATTATCTTTGCGCAAGGTTTATTTTTACAAGCCCGATAGATAAAAATGCAATTAATTATTTAAAACACGAGCCGCAACTCAGCGTAATGCAACATGGACCACTTAAAAGATAGAGAATTACGGTAGGAAATAAAGGTCAAATAGAAGTGAAGGAAAAGAAGAACATCCAAAGCAATAGTATCGATTGGATAAAGAGATATCTAGGTAGTAAAATAACATGTAATTAGCGGTCGACACCGGCCACCCTCCCGTCGTACAAACTAACGAGGCTAGCCCCATCGTGCATCACCAGGGTGTCTCCGTCTCCATCTCCACGCTTCAACCGTTCCCTGTCGAACAAACGATCCGAATCGTCAGTCCAAACGTGAATCCGCCAAATCTCGCGAAGCCCTTGTCGCCACTCATCAACCAACTGCCTCATGAAAGCCATCGTATCTTTCTTGCTACATTCCCGGATCTGTAAGTACATATCCCGATTCGTCAGCAACAAGAGATCCTTGAATTTTGCGGGACCGTTGATGAAAAGACGGGTCACGTTGTCTCGGCAATATTCACGAATTTCAGCGCTCTTCGGAACGTCTCGAAACTCCAGCTTCTCGTATTTTTGCGCGTCCGGTTTTAGAGCTTGTAGCCATGTCAGGTTTTCCGTGTCGAATATGGTGGTCTCGGCCTGAAAACGGTGACAGATTATTGATTTTTTGCCTTAGCAGGGGGGATTTTGGAAAAACGCCCAGAAAAGCTTAGTAACTAGTGCGTTCTTTTGAATAATTTTTTACTGCAATTCGACGATGATTAATTTCGAAAAACTATCTAAGAGCTCCAAACCACCTTTCAAATGTCTAAATTTAGTCGCAAATTGTTCATTTTTTGTTGAATAACAAGATTATTTTTATCTATAGCAAAAAAATGTTAGTTTCAGTAAAAAGTAGTTTAGGAACACTACTCCTCTTTGTATTAACAAACTCAGATACGAAAGAAAAGTTTTCTCCCCAATAATGCGAAAAACCTGGTCTGACGAGGTAAAATCTCGTTAAAGGGCTGCCGACGGCATGTGTCGATCCCCCCCCCCCCCATCAACAAATTGGCAAGTAGCCAACAGGGCAGAGAGCGCGCCCTGGGGAGAGGCGCAGAGACATTTGCTTTCCAGCGCGAAACCGATTGATTATGCAGTCGCCATCCCTTTAAATAAGTAGAATCAAAATCATACCGCAATTCCTTGAAGCCACGGCAAAACAGGTTCGGGTCGAGGGCAAGCCACCCAGATTAGCCGTATTTTACCCCCAAAAAACAGCAGCTTCATCACTTCCGGGCTCATTTCCTGGGTTTCATCCCAGTGCAGTTGAATCCAACCATCTTCTAGGTATTGGACCCTTCCCTCCTCATCAATGCGGAAGCATGAGTCTTGGAATTTTGTATTTGGCTTCCTTGGCCGTTTTTCAACCATTTGCCACATCAAACGAGATGCACATGCCAATTTGAATAGCGTCTTCAGGTCGTAGGGTCCGATTTCGTCAAAAACGCGTCGCTGAGCTACGCGGGGAAGACGGCAGATGAGTGGTATCTAAGGGTTTATTATCATAATGCCCAAATAATGTCGAATCATAATGTCGGAATTTCATAATCTCGAAAACTCAGCGCTTAATTTAATATGTCCATTTCCTTTAGATAGAATTTGTGATTTTCGGGAAGATTTGTTTACTTAAATTTCGGCATTTTGAAACTACGGCTCAACCTAGGCACTGGAATTTCGACATTCCGAAAATTCGAAGCTGAAATTTGAAATATGTTTGTTCGACATTATGATTTTCAACGTTTTGATAGCAAACCCTCACAGCTACCTTAACTATTGCCGCTAATTTATAATTTTTCGATGAAATTTAAACTCTTTTTTAGCTTTTCGACACCTACATCCACGTCCGCATCCGGAATCGTCTGAATCGCAATTCTCAACTGGCACTCTTCTTTGTGAAATTGCCGACGAAAAAACGCCCAAAACGTGCACGCCATGCCTGCAAATTTTTCCTCATAAAGTTAATACAACAAATTAGCCATTGCACAAATAAATGAATCGACCAAAGAACTAGTTAAAAACACGAAATAGTCAGCGTAAATGCGCAAATATCACTGTAAAAAATCGACAGGCTTTGTAGGTTTCCGATCGTTTCTTGTTCAGCTCATTTTCTTGTACCGCTCGAAGTTGCTGCCGTGGCGAGATGTAAGCGCCAACCCAGCATCTTCGGCCCGGAGCCCGGCTTTGCTAACCACAACCCAACGATAGAACGTCGTCACCTCAATTCGCCGCACATCACGTAGCCCGCGTTGCCACTCCTTTGCGATAGCCCTCAAAAAACGCATTACTTCCGGTTTCTGGCGCACATCAACCCTGATTGAGAGCACAGGGTGCCTGAAGGCCAAGCAATCCCGCAGGCACCTCGGGGAATCGATCGTCAAGACATCGACGTAGTTTTCACAAAATTCAAAAAATCTCGGCGTTCTCTCAGATCGTCGAAACGTCATCTTGAAGAAGTTTTGGTCTTTGGGCTTCAGCTTCTGTGCCCATTCAAGCTTCATGAATCGGGCCACGACGTTAGACGCCTGGAAAAAATAGATCGTATTGGTAGTTCATAAGGGGTACTTTAGAAATGGCGAAATTGATAATGTCAAGCTTCGTGACGTCGAATTTAATAATGTCGAACTTTGCATAATCTTTCCGGAAAATCTTTCAACTTCTATGAAAATAGATTTGGCCATTTTGAAATTTCGGTATTGTGAATTTTGACATAATTTTTACCATACATTATCATGGCAACTTAACTAACACTAAAACTAAAAATTTTTGCTGAAAACTAAATAGTCATAAATTCTACAGCGGTCGCAAACCGCAACGCAATCGGATTCCCCCGTGGCGACGTTGTAAATCGTGCGTAGTAAAAGACATCGAAAAGGCAACAGCGTGCGTTGCGTGGCAAATTTACATGATTACAAAATTTACAGTGGAATTTGAGTATTTTCCATATTTCCCTTGCCCGCTCCTTTCAATCGAATATCACCAAACATCACACCTACCGTCATCCCCACCAGCAGCGACAAGACGCGCTCGGGGTCGACTGCTTCAATACGGATCCTCTCCACGTGTCGCCGCGCGAAAAGTAACTTCGCCGTCTCCGGACTCATCAACATCATCCCCTTACGACGGTCTTCTCTCGCTACGTTTAGCAAGAGTCGAAGGCCCACTTCTCCATTCTTGTTCACCAACAGCTCAACCGGCGCCTCATCTTTCCGTGCTCGTTCGACCATTTGCCACGTGGAGCGGCAGGCGCGGGCAAGCTCGAACATCGTTGGCAGCTCATCGTGCCCGATCTCGTCGAGGATTCGCTGTTGAATTTCGGGAGGCAGCTGGCAGATGAATGGGACCTGAAAATGTCTAGTTTATAGAAAAGATGGTAAATTACTGCGTTTTTTGAGATTTGGAGAGCGGCACCAAAACTTTATGTGGATGATCCTAAAAGCCCACCTCGACATCGGATTCCGGGATCGTCCGAATCGGCTGGCGTTCCTTCTTCCAAAATTTTCGTAGCATGCATGACCAAAGCGTACATCTCATTTTTGCTCTTGTGTTGCAAGTTGATAGGGGTTGTCCAACAAGTTTCGACTTGAAAAAGTGGTTTCGGAAATGGAAAGAACTAATGTTTTGCAGCCAAAGAGCGCCCGGGCGATGGGAAACTGGCCGTTTTTGGACCTTGTTTGTCGTGACTCACATCTAGTCATTGTCGAATATCTAGTGCAATGACTACCCCGAAAATGCCAAAAATTGAATGTGGCCTCCAGGTTTTGTCCTGTAAGCCACAAAATTCAGAGCCACATAAAATTCTGAAAAAGGTCCCTGGAATCGCCGGTTGTTTTGAGTATTTGATGCCAATTACCTGAAAAAATATGTTTACTACGACAGTAATCGTCTGCATTGGCTTTCTGCGCGGATCAGAGTCGCTAATTTCAGCTGTCATTTCCGGATGAGCGCTAAAAAAGCGGAATGGAAATCGATTTTGCCCATTTTCTCGGCCAGTGCATTGAACGCTGTGCTAGTGATTCATAGCACTTCTCGTGTTGATTTGCGACGTTCTTCCAAGTAATCAGCATCAGCACACTCGTGAAAAGTTCCGGAAAAGCATTGTAATGCCGGGCCTGCAAGATTACGAATCAGCAATCACGAATCAAGTTGAATAAATCTTCAGATTTTACGATTTCGTTCCAAAAAAGTGATTGCACGGGAATGAAAAAAATGATTCCAAAAAAAACTGCATTACCTTTTTAAAAAATGGATTTGAGACTTTCTCTCATCATTGCAGTCTGATGCGCCGGAGAATTTCTGTATGGCACGAAGCGGGCTCGGAGCCCCACGAACCCCCTACGCTTCAATACGTCTTAGGAACGTAACTTTTCTTGCGTCATAAAACCCCGAATATTTAAGGCTTTTGCGGAACTGATAACCTATTCAATAAAAATTTTCAAAAGCATGATTTAATGTATTCTTTCATCCAGGCTTTACGTTTTTCTCGAATTGTTTTTAAATCAAAAAATTTCGTGGAATTCAATGGAAATGTTTAACTCGATTCTCGTCACTTTAATTCTTATAAATAATGCAAAATTGATCCTCATTTAGCGAAACCCATCTACGTTTATTCGTTTACTTAAAAAAATATTAGGCCCTTATTTTACTACAGGGTGTCCCAAAAAAAAGTGCCCAAGTTTGTCCCCAATTATCTCGAGCAGGAAACATATTTCACCGTGCGTTACCATGCCAGAATGCTTAAATATGTCAGGAATAGGGAAATAACTCAACTTGATTTTTTCGATTTTTGGCGACGTACCCATACAAATGACACCCGAAAACTGTGCGTTCCGGCAAAACTTCGTTTGCATTTTTCAGGATTGCTGGTGGTCGAACACTTCCAATTTTTACAGTGTAGGTACCTCAGGATCGCCCCTACGCACATCCGGAATTTTAGAATTTTTGAAGGTCACGTTGGCAAGTTATAGCGTGCTCAAATTTAATATGGAGAAATTTCGTAAATTTCGAATATTACAAAAACCTATGGTAGAAACCTCAACATAAGCTGTTTTAGCATGTCTATAGGCTCGATACAATCCCGCAAAAATATCAAAAAAAAATTTCAGAACCGCGGATTTTTGAGTTTTTCGACGACCCCCTGGTCATGGATTCTTTCGAGGTCACGAATCTGAACTTTGGAAAAATATTTCGAAAATTGCAGATAGAATTTCGGTGTTTTCTTTGCTTTGTTGTGTAGGACTGGCGTTCATTTATCGTGTAAACAATTTCTAGCTACCGTACCCCTTTGGAAGGGTGCTTTTTAGCGCCTGCAAAACGGTTGGTTCTTGCTATTTCGCAGACCTACATGCCAGTTTATAAAATTTAGTTGAGAGGCTGGAATTGTTGTCATAAGTTTATTTAATACTACTTAATGGGCGCATTCTATGATCATAGTTACAAATTTATTGGGCCATCCAATCTCTCAAAAGAAATTTATGAAGAGCCCAAATATACCCGAATTCGGGACGAGGTAAAAAAATTCTCGAGGCTTGAGTAGCCCCGACTTTTCTGGCATAGACCAAGCTTGGGTAATCAACTAGAACCCATGCAAATACCAATCCTTTTCATGCCAAACGAATTTAGAAGAGCTCCCCAAAGTCGGCTTTTCAAAAACGGTATTTTCGGGTTTTAAATCAAAATCAACCATTAACTTCAGCAAGATCGTTCCAGAATTTTGCTCTCATGCACAATTCAATACGTGCTTTAATTGTATCCACCAAACCCCGATGCCTTTTTCATTTTCAAAAATTCGATTTTCGAGCCAGGGCGTCGGTTCCAAAATCGGGGTCCGAGGGGGATTTCCGCCTTCCCTTATAACTTTGTCATTTGCCACAGGAATCAAGTAATTTTTTGTAGGTGCTCTTACATTCACCCAGCGAACAGTCTAGAATCGAAAAACCGTCACTTTATGGAATTTTGTCTTGGCATGCTAAAACGCGCTCCAGGCGGGTTACTGTAGAAAACAGAAAATCGCCGTTTTCTCGTTCTTTTCACCATAGAAACGTTTCGATCTTTCAGGAAAACAAATAATAGTAGTTTTCGGACCGATTCATAAAAATATTTAGAAATTGCCGTGGCTAAATTAAAAAATCAGCTTTTTGTATATTTTTCGAAAGTGTGTGGCTAGAAATTTGCTATATTTTGCCCATGGCTGCCCCTTACCATTGTTTACCGATGGTAAAATTTTGAGCGAAATCGCAGCTTACAATAAAAAGAAAAACGCGAAAAACAAAAGCTACAGTATCCCTCTGGGGCACGTTTTAGCAAGCAATATTAAAATACCATAGAATCAGGTAAAATTTGGTGTTGTGCTAAAGATTATCATTTGGAGACACCTATTGCAAAAGATCAGCCATGGGCAGTGTATTTGAAGCGAGTTGCCAATTAAAATGTAAAAAGATACAAAACAGTGAAATTTGTTTTGCTTGGAAAAAAAGAAATGGAGCTTCAAAAATTCTCATATTTGGCCATTAGCTTGATACAAATGCCAGCGATTTTTGGGCCAAAAATCAGAATTTTCCCACCACCCGTTCAAGAACGCACAATTTTCGGTCGTAACCAGCGTCAATAGTACAGTTGCGTACTCAAAAATCGAAAAAATCAAGTTGAGTTATTTCCCTATTCCTGACATATTTAAGCATTCTGGCATGGTAACGCACGGTGAAATATGTTTCCTTCTCGAGATATTCGGGGACAAACTTGGGCACTTTTTTTTGGGACACCCTGTATTTTAATTCGTCGGGCTTCGGGCCCTCACGTGAACTCTTCGCTTATCAGCGCTCTAAAAAATTCCCGCTCCACAATCGATGGCACGGCATCACGACAAATGCCAAAGCTTCTCCGGCACTTCTCTTCCGGCATTATTCTCTTACTTCACCGGAAAATTGGAGCTCGCTAGCGGCGACACCATTTATTTATGTTTTTAGCCTTACGTGAAAATCATAGACCACAAACTGAACGCTGAAATGTTTGGAGAAGCAGGTAAGTGAGTATGACGGCAAATAAAAGTCATTGTAAGCCGTATTAAAATAAAATTAAATTGGATTTATCAAGATTTTAGGGTCTCGTCCCCTAAAGCGGAGGCGTCCGGAAGATGCGGAATTTCATATGGCAGAGGAGCCGGTGCTCTTCGTGCCTTCACTGGACCTGCTCGACAAACATCAAGGTAAGACTGACTTATAAAGGGTTTTGAATGACATTTTCTATGATTGTACATAGTGTGTACAGGGGAGCTATTTTATAAAATGACACAACCCGACCATAATTTACAGAAATGCTGAGGTACAGCGACCGGCAGCTGGATGCCGTGCTGGGGCCCGGCAGCCCGTTTGCCGATTTTGAGCCGACAACCCCTGAAGAAGCGCTTATGGAGAATACATGTAAGTGGGTTCTACCATCTTCAAAATATACCTATTCGCTTAATGTAATAACTATTGTGCATTTTAGTCGAAAACGTCGGCGTGGACTTTGTGGATTTGGAGCAAGAGGGATCGAGTGGCTCGAGTAACGATAGCCCTCCTAGCGGAAAGCCTGGTAAGTAAGCCAAAACTGAAGCTAAGCTAAGTCAAGACTGAAACTGGCCAAAACTGAAACTAGCCCGAAGTCCAAATGAAGCATAGCATAAGCCAAAGCCTAAGCCGAAGCCGAAACCCGTGCCTAAGTCTAGGCCTAAGCCGAGAAGCCTAAGCCTAACTCGGAGCCTAAGTTTAAGCCGAAGCTTAAGCCTTGGCCTAAGGCGATAAGCCTAAGTCGAAGCCGAACCTGGCCCAGGCCTGGAGCAACAGGAATCATCAACAGCGTTTCAGGAACTGCTCTGGATGCTGGCGTGGACGCCTGGATGGAAATGGCAAATGTCGAAAATGGTCAGAAAAATTTGAAGGCATTTGCATTTTTGTAGAAAATGATGGCAACAATGGTACTCAGGACCGGAAGATGGAAATCGATGCTGATAACGACGATGATCAAGGTAGAATTTATGATTTTACTTTTATGAGTTTTAGGACTATCTTTCGGGATGGATTTCCAAGACCAGATCCCTGGCACATCATCGGCGACGACAGTCGAGATAACCTGGAATACCCGGGTTCGGGGGGCCAATGGAGAATTGTTGACGACCTGGCACTCGACGGAATGGCAGTAAGTAGGAAAGCTCATTAATACGCGAATTCTTAGGAGTACGCACTGGGCGGAGCATGTCGTCGCCAAGAAGCTTCCGCCGGTCCCCGAGCCACAGGTCCTGTACGCTGAAGTGAAAAGGGGGGTGCAGGTACGGAAGGCTTTTAGAGCCCAATGTCAATTACCGCTTTCAGAAACTGTTCTCCAAGGAAATTGACCCCTATCACGAGCTGACGGACGACGACTGCGCGCGAATCAAAAACTCCGGCAATAAATCGGCGTTAAAAAAGGTATAGAAGATTCTCGAAGTTATAAAAAGTCAATTTTTAGTATGCGTATTTATAAGAATCGCCAGGCCCAGGCTCGTGGTTTCCTAGATTTTCAAATTCTGGTTTGTTAGCGAGGGGGGGAGTAGGGCCTGGGTTATCCCCCCGCCAAGGAACTGGAAAAGATTCAGGCATCGGCTTAGCCTACCTTACGGCCTTAACCCAAATTTTTTCTGCTTTTTTTAGGTTAAAGTTAATCTTCTTTCCAGATTGACGCCCTTGTAAAGGACTGGGAAACCAGCAACGACCCCGAGGTATCGACAAAAATCTGGCTGCGAATATTCACGTAAGCTATATCCATTAAAACCTACCATGTTCCACTTTCCAGCGTTGCCGTCGTCACCTGGAACCGCAGGGTACGCGATGAAAATGGGAATCTACGCAGGGAATGGATCTCGATCGAATGGCAGTAGTAACAACTTTTTAACAAAAATCCCCGAAGTCCAGATGCGAAGAGTGGAGAGTGTTGATCGAAGAGTGGACCAATACCCACGGAGCCGTACCACCAGTCCCCCCACCCACTATATTATATCAAAAAGCATCGACCGGGGCGGCGGTAGTCCTTAATCAAAAAAATTGAGTATAAAAAGCTTTAGCGTAAATTCGACAACGAGATTGATTTGTACGCAGAGTTGAAAGCTGACCACTGCGCGACGGTTCGGCTTGGAATGAAATCACAAGATCGGGTGAGTCGAAGTAACGATTCGTCGCATTAATTTTATATCGAGTCTCTTACGCTATACTTTAGTATTCCGAGCTGCTAGCGGCTTACCAGAACGCCAAAAAGGATCTAGATGCAAAAGCCAAGGAATTTTGGCAGTATGTTCACAGGTAAGCGCAAAGTTATTAGTGAAACGCTGAACATCAGTCAGTGATTTTCCTCAAAGATCTCAGCTAGCTAGCCTTGCGGCTCCCAGAATTAATTTGATTTTAGTCGCGTCGTCAACAAAACCCAATCTCAAACCACCCGAAAAAATCAACGCGACGGCCTCGACAACCATTTTCGAGCCGTCATCGAAAACCAGTAAGCTAAAAGGTTTTACAGACTATGGAAACGTTTAGCACTGCTTTGGAGAACTTTCTGAATAATTACTCCGGTGCATTGAACTTGGCTCCCGGCCAGCGGAAACAATTTGAGAAGGAGAAAAAGGAGCGGCTCGGAAGGGTAGGTTCTTGTGAATTTTGGCAACTTGCCTGTAACTTGAAATTGAGAGAAATTAGCTCCTATGCAACGGGACAAACCTGGAAAATTTTACCAAATGGCTTGTAAAATGGCGGGCTTAAATAGAAAATGGTTATGAAAATTGTCGCAAATTCGCCGTCTCAAGGGCTTTCGGATGGTGTAACTACCATTCTGATCCAATACCTCTACATCGAGTTAGAGGGGGTGTTTTTTTGGGACGCCCTGTTTAACACTAAACTGCAATTACCATATGCGTGTAAAATGTGTCTGCATATTACCGTATGCAAAAAAATAGTTATTTTCAGTCACAGCAACAGGCGGACTTTGCGACCGCGGCCTTACGGCGGAAGAATTCGCGGTCCGATGATGGCTGAAATGGCTGTACGCATTTTTGTATATTTGTATTATTACCAGGGTTGAAAAGCCGCTTCGCGACTTTTCAACCCTGGCCCCGTCTCGGACCCCATACTATTCGGCCCTTTGCATAATTGTCCTCGATTCAGAAGACAAAAAAATGAAAAACAACCCTTTCTGCCTCTTTATATAGGCGACCACCCACTTCCGGTCTATGCTAATTATTCCTGACAAAGAGGTTTTTACAAAAACCTAAATTTAATAGCAAAAATGGCTAATTTTTAAAAATCTGATACGTGTGCAGTCATCCCTAGACCATTACGCACCTAATGACGTATCATTCGTAGCTTATCACCCCTCGCCTCTTGAGATATCCTCCGGACAGACAGACGGACGTGGATGCAAAGTGGCACACACACACAAACACACACACACACACACACTATTTTTTTATATATAGTAGGATTTGTATTTTTGGCTACGGTTTACTTTACCCCCATCCGGAAGTTTTTGACTATAACCTTTTTATTTTACATTATTGTAGGCTCAAATTAAAACTCTTAGGATATTTTTCGACGCTCTATCAAATGGCGTTGCAACAATCCCGACAAAATAAACGAAAATACCGAAAACTTGGAGACCCTTCGGCTGTGGGGGGTGGGGGGTAAAGTAAACTCTTATCGTATTTTTGTAGTAGAAGCCGAGTTGTTTTTGCCATTTTTCAAACGTGGATCTTTGGATTTCATGGTCAACGTCGATTTTTTTAATAAACATTTCATCATGGCACGGTTCTCACGACTTCGCACCAGTGTTGCTGATCCTATAAAAAGGATTTACAGGGATACGTCTGTATAAAAAGTACAAAAATGAAGCGGCAACACATTCCCGAAATTTTTGAGTGAACAGCACCTTAACTATCAAGAAGGAGAGCAGCGTTTTGATGGCGTATAAGCACGTACAGAACTGTGACCGCCATGGCGTGCGCTTAAAGCCAAAACGTTCCAATACGCGTAGGAAACGTAAAAGGTAGAAGAGAGAGCGAAAAAATTCCAGATCTAAAAGGATATTTTGATCTAGACAAGATTTGATCTAACCATCATCTACCCGCCAAAAAAGATGCGCAACCTGGACAGGCAAATTAAAGAGCAAGTCAATGTTGTAGAGAATTTTATATAAATCAAAAAAAAGTAAATACGTAGAGACAATTTTTTGCGATAATTAAAACTGTAATTTTTGCATATGCAGAATTCGCGGGTTGGAGGACGTCTTCAGGCTTATCACCGCTCCGTACGGCTCCGCTTTTCGAAGAAATCGATATTGCCCGCTCGCGCTTCTCCCTTCACGCCGTACGCGTAACGTTACGCAAGATTATACTTTATATTCATATTTCTATATATTATATTCTATATATTCATTCTATTATCTTGGAGTCTCAGAGGAGAATACGATAGACTAAAATTCTGTATTTTTACGAATTCGACCCGGCCGTCAACTCAGCTTCCTCTAATTCGGGAAGCTTAAACAACTGCTCCGTAGCAATGGACGTCGATACCGGTGGGTCATCTCGATACGAAGGTTTTTGGGGTTGATGGTAAACCTGACTAAAAATTGTTGTTAGGAGCCAGTCCAGCAAAGCGCCCTTGCCGCCAAGAAGCCGCTTTCAATGAAGATGCGATAGAGGCACTTGAAGACCTTCCGGATCAATACCTTAGTAGCTGCTCGCTTTCTATTAAATTAGCCCGGGATTTGCAGAATTCATCACGTCAAGCGACTCGGCGTTAGAGAAGATCGTTTTTCCTGATGACCAAGAGCCGTTTGCGGAGTTCAGCGTTGAAGAAGCGTCAATGAATAAACAAGTGCCAAGTGGGCCCGAGAAACTAGTTGTACTGTTTTAGCTAATCCCGACCTTCCGTCGTGTCTCGACGAAGAGCAGTTGATTTCCGATGGGGCGCAAGAAGAGACCACAGGTTGTTTTTCATTTTTAGTGTTACCTTGATTTATAGAAAACCCAATACATAATGGAACCCCAGTATCTACGGTGTCGAGCCTTCAAAACGCATCGGGAATCGGTAGGATGAAATCGGGGACTTTTTGAGTTATTGATTTACAGTTGCACCTCAGGTCGAGGTAGGAGACAACGAGATGACGACGGAGAACGCAGGAGAACCAGGTAAAGTTGGAGTTGAACCGGATTTCCTTTAATATAACCCCGGTTATGTTTTGTCAATCACCTAAGGGGGGTGGGTTGTATTAGAGGGAGGGATAGATTTTTCGTGAATAGAGTAGAACGATTTCTAGCATCTCAAACTGCTCATAACCACTCAGGAACACAGCACGAAGCTCATGCAGAAAAGTTTTTGCATCCTTCCTTCTTAAAGGCAATTTCAAGAAAAATGTTGGGTTATACAGGCTGTCCCAATAAAAGGCACAACCCTCTGACTTGAAGCAGAAGTATCGGAATGGTAGCCCCAGACACGGCGAGTTTGCTACAATCTCAAAAACCATATTTTTTTTATGTTTCAAGGGCTTCTCAATGGTGTAACTATCATTACGATCCGATAGTCCTGCGTCGAGGGTCGGGGGGTGTTTTTACCTGGGCTATGTTAAATACACAAGTATTTTCTCACGGATGTTTTAGATAACGCTTTTCAACGAGATGTTCCGGCGCAACCCGTCGCCATTCGGTCACGTTTCCCAGGCGAAGAAAATCCACGGGTCCGTGACGAAAACGGCATGTTGCGGTGCTCGTGGACATCCACAACATGGAGGTTACCTAGTTACCTTCTTCAAACCGATTTTCCTAACTTTCAGAAATCATCAATGGGCCGAGTACGCCAGAAAGCTGCCTCCCGCCCCTAACCCGAACATCCTCTTCGATAAACCGAGTCAACGCATGTTTTTCTTCAGCGAACTCGACCCGCACTACGAATTGGGCGATGTACATTACGCGCGCATCTCCAAAGCCGATAAGAAGAACCAGAAAAAGGTGGCTTGCTTCAAAGAAAATACACTCGTTTTAGCTCACCGGACTCGTCGAGAAGTGGAGCACCACTCAAACTGACCAAAACGCTAAAGAAGCCTGGCTTTTCATATTTTCGTGAGCCCCCTCTTTTGCGTGATGCTCTTTTTTTGCAGACTTGCTGAGGCGAGATGGAACCTGAGAGTGCGCGACGAAAAAGGCAACCTGCGCAGACAGTGGCTGTCAACGGAATGGAGGTAATAAAATTAGTAGCTGCTTTAAGCAATGGAATCATGCACTCAGAAGCAACGAATGCGCTGAACTCTTCGCTAAATGGAGGAAAAGGTATAATTCCTTGCCGCCACTCCTCAACCCTGACCAATTCTTCGAAAAGGCCGGCTCCGGAGCAGCGGTAAGTCAAAAGGAGGACCCGCTGGGAAAACCAACTTAAATTCCAGCGCAGATTTGGAAACGAATTCGACTTCTACGCGGAGATGACTGATGCGCATGCTCAGACGTTACGCCTCGGAACGCAGCGCACAAAAGAGGTTTCTTTTTTCAGAGTAGGGTAAAATCTAGCCCCCCTTAGAAGAAAACCGTTGTTTTCATGCCCGTATTAAATAGACTGCAAAATTTTGATTATAGTACGACCGCCTACTCCGTGCCTACAGCAATGCGGTCGCAGCGCTGAAGCGCGTTGGAGGGGAAGCGGAACCGATTGAACGCGGTGCGCAGAAAGAAGCCATAGCTTTCTGGCAATTCATCCATACGTGAGTTTTAAAGGGAAATTTTTATCTAATATCCCTAACACGCGATTCAGCCGCCTCGTCAACAATGCTCAAAGCGACAATTCGAGGAAAACCAAGGCCGACCAGTTCCTTGAAATCTGCAAGGGCGTCGTCGAGATAAAGTAATTTTTTTCGGACAATCGTTATTCTGATTTTAGCGAAAAAGTGAAGAACCTCCGCAAGCCCATTCCAACGTCACCAAAATCCATGCAGGAATTTGATATAGCCAAAGCTGATTTGTTTACCATGGTAAGCTAGCCGATATGAACATTTTTCAGCAGGGCCTCTTTAGACGCAGAAGATCTCCGCCTTGGCCAACAAAAAATTGCAGTTGACGAACGCTGAGGATGTGAAATCGGAGGATTAGATGAATAGCTTATATTTATCTGGTTTCGGGTTCTTGTTTTGTTATTTGATGTACTGGTGGATATGGTATAATACGCTTGTGAAACGCTTGGGTCTTAATGATTTGCTTAATAAATATTATCGCTGTTGGTGAGGCACAAAACCAGAAATGTTTTTCCAAGGTTTTTCGTAGGTGTCAAACAAGACCGGCAATTCTGATTTTGTCTATCAATCCAAATATATCGGCTCGTCATTTTATTCCTTGGTCTGGCAGCCAAAGTCGAATTTTCGCTCCTTGTTCGGCTTCTTCGCGCCGATGAAATACACGGCGTAATCGGTGTTGGGCGTCATGTTGAGGGTGAAATTCTTGGATGGGTCGGGTTTGATGCTGAAATTCATGTAGTTTAGTGTAAAACTCTTGAATTTAACGTCGCTAGGAGTGCAAAGGTGCAGAGCGTATCCCCGCCCCACCTTCCCTTTAAGCAACGCCGAGCTCCTATAGACACCTGGCTCCAACGCGCACTATGCAGCGTTTATTATATTATGTTCAGGCATGAACGCTTCCTATATAAATTTTTCTACTCACTCGGTCCTCTCTAACGTCTTCAGATTCCTCAAGTAGAGCTGATCCCCATCGGCCAAACTTCCGGTTGCCCAGAAGTTTCTGCCCTCTTTGACACCATCACAGTACACATTGCACACATAGCTGAGCCCATCTGTGTTCTGAATTATCAGTCGTAATCGGGTTTTTTAGAGTAGCCCATACCTTGGGGTAGACCTTATCGTATTTCGCTCCATTTGACCATCCGTTCTTGGCGTACAGAATCGTTGGATTGGGGCACAGGAAGGCTGAAAAGGCTGAGGTTCAGCTAATCATCGCATCAGCTTAAGCTTAAAAAAACTGATTTGAGCTGCTCTTGAGGCTAGCAAAGCCACTTAAGTTAGGAAGCTCAACTTACAGTCAGTATTTGCGAGCGCCGGGCTGGTCAATGTCAACGTGAATTCGGGAGTAGTCGTGTTGTATCTGACCCTTTATTTACCACCGCTTCGATTTTTTTCTACCTGAATCCCACGGCCTGATCCGGGATCATAAACTCGACCTTCTTCTCCTTATTTCCAATCACCCTCAAAAATTTGAATCCGAGCTGAAAGCCGAAACCAACTCCAAGAAGTTCAGTCCCCTGCCGCTCAGCGGACGCTCGAAATCGAAGGCCGTATTGTAGAGCTTTCCGGCTTCCATTGTGGGCACTTCGAGGATAGCGTGGATGCCATAGTATTGCCAGACGGTGAAATCCTGAAATTATGAATTGAATTCAATAACAAATACCTAAGTCAAGTCTAAGCTTTGTTCTTGCTGAAGCTTAGGCTAAGCTGAAGTCCAAGCCACTACTAAGCAGATGATAAGCCTTGGTTTTGCACAAGCCCAAGCATAGGCTTGGTTTTCTGCCTTGGTCAAGCTTGGCTTTGGTAAGGCCAGGCCTTAGCTAAGCCTAAGCCTATGCCCAAAACTTACAATTCCATGCGCTAGGATATTGTGAACTACGGTGCCACCATATTTCTTGAGCAACGCCGGATCCTTCTTGAGCACCAGCTTTCCGCCCGGAGCGCTGTAGATCTCGCTTCGGATCCAGTCCTTATAGGCTTAAAATTAGGTATATGTTGCCAAAAAATTAGGCTCAACCTACGATTCGGATAGTTCGGAGGCAAGCTTCCGAATACGGTAGCGACAAAGGCCGCCAAGCACAAAAGTGACCACATCCCGGCTGAAGTGGGACAAGAGACTTTCGAAGAGCCTTTTATCAATTTCCTAAAAAAATTGGGTGCTCCGTCCGCTTGATAAACACGGAAGCTGGCGGATCGTTTTCCGCTAAACATCGCGAGAGGATAGTTTTTTGGGCGCGAGGTCAAGGATGGGATGCAAAAAAAGAGATCAACTCGGGCCGGAGATGTGCTTTTGATCCTTGTTCAAATAAAATGACAACATAATACGCTATTAGGCATTAGAATTTTTGGTTGAAATCTGTAAGAAATGGACTGTTAAAGTGGCTTTTTTAACTTTTGATCCGGCTTTCAAGGTACAAGGTCTTTCGATCGTGGAAGATCAAATGTACACCTCCGGCCATTTTTCAGTTTTCTGGGTCAGGGTTGATGCAACAGAAAAATTCCCGATTCGCCAAAGGTTGACTGACACCCAAAGATTTTGGAAACTTTCTAGTTATGTCAATATTGAATTAAACCGTGTAAAAATCGTATGTACAAGGCGGTTTGAGAAATACAGGAAAAATCAAAAAAAATATTTATTAAAACCACGTAGTACAAGTTCTTTTTGATCACTCGTTGTTCTCGTGTTGTTGTGTGTGTGTTTTGAACTTTCGCTCCTTGTTCGGGCTCCTCGTGCCGACAAAGTACAGCACAAAGTCCTCGTTCGGCGGGAAGGCGATGGTCGTGTTCTTTGAGGGCTCGACGTTCACGCTAAACATCGTGAAGCAGCTCCAAGAAAATTTTTAACTTACTCGATCTTCTTCTGGGTCTTCATGTTCCTCAAGTAAAATTGGTCACCATCTGCCAGGGTTCCGGATGCCCAGAATTTTCGGCCCTTATCCGTGGAGTAGAAGTATTGGCTGCACACGTAGCTGAAGCCGTCCGTGTTCTGAAATACAAACCATTTTCTAGGGGAGAGAGACAGCGGGAGCGAGAGCGAGAGAGAGACAGAGAGAGAGCGAAAGAGAGAGAGAGAGAGAGAGAGAGAGAGAGAGAGAGAGAGAAACATATACCTTTGGGTAGGTCGAGTCGTAAAGTAGGCCGTTGGCTCCTCCGGTAAGGTATCCGGGAATCGGGCAGAGGTATGCTGGAAAACGGGAGTTTACAAGGCTATTTAGCTATTGCTGTATCGAACTAAGAAATTAACTTTATGCCTAAAATAGTTTCACTGACCGCGCTCATCCTTCAGCTCATAGGTAGAGAAACTGGCCGAGAATTCCGGAGCGTCGTTAGTATACCTTAAATTTTATAAATCAGGTCGAAAACCAAGAAAATTTACTTGAACGCCACGACTTGTGTTGGGGCAATGAATTCAATCTTTTTATCTTTGTTGCCGATCACCCTAAAATTCGGTAGTTTAGGATCCGTTTTAGGCAAGTTAAAAATGAGCCGATTCGCCTACTCGATGAAATTCAGGCCTAGCACATCAATGTGTGTAAAGTTGAACACTTTTTCATAGTTTTTCCCGACTTCCATTGATGGCACCTCCAAAACGACACGGACACCGTAGTATTGGTTCGGAGTGACGCTGAAGTCCTAAAAATCGCAATTTTTCCGAGTTCTCAAGATTACCGCTCCGCTAGTGACAACTTTATGGACGACGGTGCCGTTGTGCTTGGCAAGGAGGGCAGCATCTTTCTAAAAAAAATACTGGGCTTTCGTAACTCCAACTTTTACAGCTGTTAACCGGTAATGGTTGCTTAAATGGGATAGAAACAAATTTTGTCTTTCTAAAAGCTATCTTGGTATTTTCAGGCGACATTGGATGGAGCGACAAAAATTGAACTAACTATTTATTTTCAGCCAAAAAAAACCTTATTTACAACCATTTTAATAAAACGGAACTTTTGGCATAATAAAGTAACCATTTTGAATAATGGTCGGGCTGCAATCAAATAGCTTAATAAAATTTTGAACGCTCTATCCGATGGTTCAATGATTATGCACCAACAATAAAGCGAAAGTCGTTTCCACACCCGTTACTTCTTCAGCTCCCCCCCCCCCCCGTTAACCAACTTTTACCCTGTCAGCTTACCGTCACTGCATAGCCTAGTTTCTGCTGGCCCGGCTGGTTGGCAATGCTGATGTGAATCCAGTCTTGGTAGGCTAAAAACAGCGACGATCGATGCATTACTGATAGGTAAAACCTACGATTCGGTTCGTTTGGATTGAAACTTGCGAATACTGTAGCGAAGAGGGCTACCAGGCAAAGAATTGACCACATTTGTAATCAAATTCGCGCCTAAAATGCTGCAACAAGCGTTCGGGCAATCGTTTATAGGCAAACGACAGAGCAAATAAGCTCAATTTTTTTCATTGATAAACACGGAAGTAGCTGCTCCTCCGACACAAAGCCACGCCCACAAAGACCTTTTTTTGATATGATGGGGTCAAGGCGATACTAGAGTTTGATGTGAATTTCTGTTTGATTCTTACTATCAGCGTTACTTTTCTCAAACTCTAAACTACCATCTTATTTGTCAGCCTAGCTGCTGTGTTTGGTCAGCAATATTTATTAAAGAAATATATTCTTCTCAGGGTTCGAAGAGGGAAATTTATCAATTAAAAATGTTCACATTAATAATTTTTAGCTAATGAAAAATTTATTGAAAAAAATGCCATTTCCTTCATTGCTTGGCCGTGAAGGAGAGGTTGAAGGTGCGCGAGCGGTTGGGCTTTGGGGCTCCGATGAAGTAGAGCACGAAGTTCGTGTTCGGGGGCGCTTCCAGGGTGTAGTCGAAGTCGGAGTCGAGCTTCACACTGAAATCAACGGTGTATAAAATCTCTCTCTCTCTCTCTCTCTCTCTCTCTCTCTCTCTCCTTCTCTCTCTCCTCGAAAACCTTACTCGATGCGTTCGTTTGTCTTCAGATTCCTCAAATACAGCTGATCACCATCAGCCAGCACTCCCTTGGCAGTGAACTTGCTACCCTCCTTGTACCCGTCCAACCCGAAGCTGAACACGTACCGGAAGCCGTCGAGGTTCTAGAGAAGTTCAAGCCGTACAACCACGATCTTTAGCCCAACCTGCGGGTAGACCTTTTCGTACTGATCACCGATGGGCGTCGTGCCGTCCTTGCCGAGAGCGACGCCGGGACCGGGGATGAACCAGGCTAAAGGGGAACCGCGCTGGTATTCAAGTTTAGCGTATAAACATACCGTCACCCTGTTTTTGTTTCGGCATCCTGGGTGCGTTGAAGGTCGCCTTGAATTCGGGAGCCTTGTCGGTATACCTAAAAAATTGTGTTGCCACCTCTAAACAGAGGCAAACCAGAATGCGACGTCCGACGTGGGGATCATGAACTCAATCTTGCCGCCCTTCGCCCCAATGGCCCTAAACAATTCTTGGACTGTCTGTGGAACACAACAAACTCGGCGTAATTCATATGCCCGCCACGCAGACTACGCGGGAATTCGAAGCCAAAGAAGTCGTAGACCTTTCCCTCGACCATGGGGGAGAATTCGAGCACGGCATGGATTCCGAACGAGTCCCAGGTTTCAGGGTCCTGAGATGGGATTTAGATTGAGTATTTATTCGTGTTATTAAGTGGAATTATATTATTTTGTGTAGCTGATGGACGCGATGTAAAGCGCATAATAGAAATTTACCTACATTGATGAGTACCTCACAAATTCTGTAAAACTCACAAACCCATGCCCACCAATCTGATGCACAACTTTTCCACCGTCTTCCTTCAGCTGGGTCGAATTCTTGGTGAACGTCAACGTCCCTTTTTCCCCATCGGGGATGTCAACCTGATGCCATTTGTCGTAATCTAGCGCATTAAGAGTCTACAACGAGATCTCCTAACTTGCCGTGCTCTCCGATTCGGGGATCAGTGATTGGAGGCGGTCCGCCTCCAATGTTAACTGGATCAATGGAGACAAGAGGTGGTGGAGGGACATCTTCGGCGAGCACCGCCGAAATACAGCCTAATATCAAAAGCGGCAGCATTTTGGGGAATGGACCGGTTGATGGAATCCACAACACAGTGGTCTCGAACCCGGAACATTTCTGTGAAGCTCCGCCCCCTATTTCCCCGGAGAGTTTGTTTTTTTTTGGATTTTTGAAGGTCTCTGGCCGTTTACAGTTTCGACATTCCGGGGAGTAAAGCATTCAAAAACCTTCCCCTAGAGGTTTTTTTCTGTCGATTTTGTTTCGATCAGAAAGCCAGCGATGTAATTTTAAGGGTGACAACATCAGAAAGTTACTTGCTTTTGTAGCCAGCAGAGAGGAGAGCAGAACGACGCTCGCAAAATGTCCACTTCGCCCTCTTCTTTTGGCCAGAGAAAAAAAAATTGAGACCTCGCTAAATTGACTGAGCGATAATCGGAGAAGAACCTTGGAGAGGGAGCAAAAGAGAGGGGTGAGAGAGGGAGAGAGGAAGAGAGGGAGAGTGAGAGAGCGAAACAGAGAGAGAGAGAATGAGAGAGAGAAAATGAGATAGGGAGAAAGAGATAGAGAGAGAGAGCACGAGCGAGAGAGAGAAGTTATGAGAAAACGACGTGCACTAATGACGAAAGTAATACAGAAAGAGGCATGTCTGAAAGGAATCAAAATTAAAAATCTTAGCTTGCTGAGCTGCTTGTAATATTTTGGTTCATATTTTGATTTAGCGTGGTGCATAGCTTGGATTTATTCATCCTGTGCCTGGTTCGAGATTTCAAATCGGCGGTCCCGGTTCGGCTTCTGATCACCGACAAAATACAGATCGTAGTCATTTTGTGGCGGGATGTCCATGGTGAAAGCGGTGTTCGGGTCCAAAACCAGGCTAAAAACTACGGAAATTGATGTCTGGCGCCAAGTTTAACAGGCTGGCTGGTCACGGGTTTTGTTAAAGCATTCCTGGCTTGACTTTACCTTACCCCCAGTCTGAGGCTCAAAATTTTTTCGATATTTCCTCTATTTCATCGGAATCTTGCGCCCCATTCGATAGAGCATCGCAACTATCCTAATTAGGGGAGCCCGTTTTAGCGTTAAAAGTAACGGGAAAAAGGGACCTAACGTTAAAAGTTTACGAACCTTGCGCCCGATCCCAATCCGGGAGCTTTTCATTATTCCCCAAGGTCAGAATATAACAGAAAAATTCAAACATTACTGGGGGACTCTGTACAGTGTACACATCCGGTTTACGGTGACTACAATTATTGTCATAATACGATCATTCATTCCTCGAATGCAGTACCCTTTTTCTAGCTAAAACGAATATTTATCCATAAAATTACAGTTAACATGGGGCGGAGTTCGGCAAGTTTGACTGGCTCCTATTCTTTATCCTGTTTGGCTACCTCGAACTTGCGGTCCCGATTTGGCATGGCCGAGCCGACAAAGTACGCGTAGAAGTCGGTGTTCGCGGGAAGCTCCAGGGTGATGTTCTTCTCCGGGGTCAATTTTAGACTGAAGTTTTTACCATAAATTTGAAGACGATCATTAAGCATTATCGTAACCTAAACAAAACCTACTCAATTCGTTCCTTCGTCTTTTGGTTCCTCAAGTAGAACTGTTCACCATCAGCCAGGATACCGTTGGCCCAGAAGTTTTTCGGAGCCTGCCCACCGAATAATGGGAGACTGAACACGTAGCGGAGGCCGTCGGTGTTCTAAAAAGCACATTTTTCGACAGAATATCGAAATATGTTAATGCGTAAGCAGCTTCTCAAAACTGCGAGCTTACCGCCGGGTAGTCCTTCTTGAAGATGACGCCATTCTGTTCGCTTCTCCCGCCCTCCTCTTTCGGGGTGCTGTATAACGCGCCAAAGTCCGGGGAAGCCAGCGCTGAAAACGGGATTTGTTTAACTTTACTTTTGCCGAGTTTAATTGATTTCTCTATGTTAGCAAACACCAAAAATTTAATTCAATCTCTGGTTTAAAAACCATCAAATTTCCAAAAAAAGCAAAAATACTCACGCACCTCGCCCATTATCGTTGAATTTTTGCATAGGTGGGCTGGTGAAGGTGGCGGTGAATTCTGGAGCGTCTGTGGTATACCTTAACTTTTTAGGTAAAATTTGAGGGATCAGCATCCAAACTTACTTAAATCCAACGGCACCGTCGGGCATCATGAATTCCAGCTTCTTTTCCTGGACGCCAATAACCCTGAAAAAAATTTTTTGGTGAATTCTTGATCAACTACAAACTCGAAAAATCCTTGGTCAGTTCGCTGCAGCGGGAGCTCAAAGTTGAAGCAATCGTACAGCTTGCCCTCTTCCATCGACGGGATGTCAAGGGTGACGTGAATACCGTAGTGTATCCAGTTTGCCGAATCCTAAAAACCGGAACTAGGGCTTTAGGCTTGTTTTCTTATGTGTCTCTGCTCGCTTGTCTCGGGCTTGAGCTAGCCACAAACGTCACCAGATGAGAAACGTACCAAAGAATTTCCCAAAACCTCGTAAACGACCGTCCCGTTCTTCTGCTCCAAAAGCTTCGCATCCCGCTTGAGCACAAGCTTCTTATCACCAGCTTCTGGGATTTTGGCACGGATCCAGGCATCGTATTCTGAAAAAACTTTGCACTTTGAAAAGAGACTACGCTACGCTACAAAATCCGCCCAGAATTTGAGAACCTACTGTGCTCATCGGGGTCATTTTCAGTCCTGCTTTCCGGGTAGACTTCCACAATCCGCTCTAGTTCAGCAGCCCTCTCGGTACGGTTGGCCGGTACGTAGCCGTACTCGTGTGCGGGCACATCCGGGTAGACCTGAGGCGCCGGTTGATACACCACAGTTTCGTTGTCGACTGAAATCCCAAAAATCTCTGCAACATTTTCGCCAAGCAACGATGCGCTACGATATGATACGATACGGTATACTATTTGTAGTACATCACGCTAAATTAGGATACGCAACGGTACGTTACGAGACGGATAGCCACGGTATGGTACAAGACGCTACGCTACTATAAACCTTGAAGCATCAAAGATAACACACTCACCAAAATCTCGACGTGGTCGTGACTCTTCGACCGTACCGTCCGGCTTGACGAATGAGTAGTTTGTATTCGCTTCGGGATCGGTGTAGACCTGGGGTGCCGGCTGGTACACCACTGTATCGTTGTTGTCAGCTATAACTGTTAAAATTACGCAACTTAAAGAAAGCAGCGTAAATGTGGTGGGACGGCACGCTACGCAACATGCGACACCACAATGCGCTATGATACCATACGTTAGTATACGTTTCTCTAATACGCCGCAAGAAGGCACCCTACCTTACGATACTGTGGGACACCCAATAATGCTTCTCTTTCCAGAAAAACGCACATTACCTTACAATTTACTATTTTCTTAAACCCCATCGGTTACCATGCGCTACAATACGTGTTTTCGCGAACTTTTACCAAAAATGACTATACCGTAGCACATATACAAAATACTATGATCCGCGACGCACCTGGCTTCACCGTTTTCACTGGCTTTGGCGGCACCGGATCGGTGTAGACCTGGGGCGCCGGGACGTAGACAACCTTCTCATCATCACCCATTAATGCTGAAATAGCGCAAAATAGAAGGAGAAGCCGGAGCATGGTTGCAAATGGCACGGAAAGGGTAAGCGAACGCACAACACAAAATGGACCGACCCGGAACCGGCCCGCCCTAGCAACTGCTGCCCCCTTTTTTTGGGTTGATACTTCCTCAAGGCCGGCCGGAAAGAGGCGGAAAGATTGTTGAACATCTTACGCGGATGTTTGGAGATAGGAAATGGGTCAAAAGCGCTCAAAATTACAGGCATATTCGAACGACCTGCCGGGATATATCGGATGGGATGAGTCAGAAATCATTGATCCGGAGCTCGACCTTCACTTGCTCGTCCCTTTAAATTTGGATCCAAAATGTTATGGAACCAAAATGTATCCGGCGGAACATTTTTGTATGTATTTTACAAAGCAAAAATACTGGGAAAGACCTTGAAAAACTTTATTCAAGACTATTCAACTGCTTTATATGATTAGGGTGGCATGGATGAGTCGTTGAGAAGGATCAGGTCGACAGAGAGAGAGAAAGAGAGAGAAGAGAGAGAGAGAGAGAGAGAGAGAGAGTGAGAGAGTGATAAAGGCAGAGAGAGAGAGCAAGAGATAGAGAAAGAGAGTGATAAACAGCTAAAAGGATATGGTACGGCCGGAAAAATCGATGGGGAGATCACCAGGTGAAGACCCAGAAATCATAAATAAAAAAAGACAAGAAAAGCTAAAATATATTTCTGGTTTTTACGAATTCAGAATACCATTTTTGCAAAACTATACAGGAAAGGAAAAAAACGGCTAAGTACAGAATAGCACGGGGATCAAGGGGGAAGTCGAGCGACTTTGTTCACACTTCGTACAGACAGGCCCGACGGGCTGAGTGGGGGATACGGTATCTGGGGGCAAGGTATCTTAGTTTTCTTTGTTTTCCTCGTCATCTGCATATTCGTCTATTTCTTCGTCATCATCATCTTCACTGGTATCATCAAGATCCCCGATTGTCGCATTCATGAAATCCATCACATCTTCGCCGTCGCTGTCCTCGTCGTCAGTGGGGAAGTTGTCGAAGAACTCTGGGGGCATGTCCCACATTCTGAAAAATTAAGGTTATCCAATTATTTACGTCTTACGTACTTGACGATACTTGCACCTAAACCTACACCCAAACGTTTAAAGTGTCACTCCACTTACCGGTCGACAAACCGAAGTAGCGTCTCGTACTCGCGCTGCATACCCCGGATGCGCTTCGCGTCCTCCATGCATTCGGCCATTTTGTCGCGGATCGAGCTGAAATCGGGTTGTTTCGCCTATCAAATGAGCTCTGCTAACTTGCCAGTTAAACTTGATTTGAACGACTCAAAGGGCTAGGTTAGGCGTTAAAAAACTCACGCTTCTAGTTGAATACAGCCTTCGATCATCTCCTCAGCCTCGCCGATCTCTTGCTCTTGCTGGAAAATCAAAAATCTTTTTAAAGTTTAAATTGTAAATTTGTTGGCTCTCACTCTCTATGTCTCGCTCTCTCTTTCTGACTCTCTTTCTATCTCTCTCTCTCTCTCTCTCTCTCTCTCTCTCTCTCTCTCTCTTCTCGCTATCTTTCTCCGCCTACTACCTACCCGCTCCATATACTGCTCAGCAGTCTCGCCCTCCTCAAAATTCTCCTTGGACTCGGCCTCGTGCGCCAGATTCTCCCTCATCTTCGTGACGTGTGCCTTGTACACCTGCATCACGAATTTATCTCCGTCCAGATGTGCACTCGTCGCCGCGGTCATCTGCTCGGCGGTGCTGATGGCGTCGTCCAACTCGTTGCTCCATTCCCCGCGTATCTGGTCCTGGACATAGCTCCGGAGGTCCATTGTGTAGTCGTTCATTTCTTGCTCAGCCGTTTGGTCCGGCATTTTGGGCTAAAAGGAGTGATAGAAGTTACTGAGGGATAAGTAAGTTTGGGAGGTCAATGTCATGGAAGCTATGAAAGTGATTTAAAGGCAAAACTACGGAGAGTGTGAAAGACAATGACTTTTATGGAAGAGCGAGAGAGGTACAAAGATAGAAAATGGGAAAGATAGAGAGCTATTGGGCGGGAGAGAAAGAGAGAGTGGGAGAGAGAGAAAGAGAAAGGCAGAGAGAGAGTGAGTGAGTGAGAGAGAGCGAGCCAACAAAGCTTCCAAAGCACCACGTGAGACTGCGAGAATGGCTCGACAGTAACCGGTAACACGAGCTTTTCAATACTCCCACAAAAAAATGCAAATCTCGAATCTTAAATGGCGAAACCGTAAACAAACAAACGAACTGCAAATCATTTGTTTTGACATAGAATCACTTTCCAAAACACGGCCCGCAAAAATTATTTTTGAGCGCCATAAAAAAATGAGAATTTTCAAGACGTGCAATAGGTGGAGCAGATCGGGTGAATGAAAGGGCTCAAGGGACATGGAGAGAAAAGCGGGTTTTAGGCTCTAAAGACCAGCTTTTACTACTACCGTAACCCAAAAGACGTAAACCCGGAGTGGAGCGTAGTCATAGGGGAATATGCCGTCGTTCTAGGGAGCCGTCTTGTTCAAAAAATGAGGAGCCGCAGATCATACGAATCAGCTAAATATTCGTTTGGGCAAGAATTTGCCAGAGAAAGTAAAACTTTTAAGAGCTAAGAATTTTTTTAACCTTAAAAATCGGAAATTTTCAAGACGCACAATATGTTGGGCAGTTTGGACGAATCAAAGGGCCGAAAGGGCATTAAGAGGCAAGAAAAATCGAGAATAAGGGCTCTAAGGGCCCGATTTTACTACCACCGTAACCTAGAAGGCGTACGCCCGGATCGGGGCGTAGCCGTAGGGGAAGTGCCGTCGTTCTACGGGGCCGTCTTGATCGAAAACGAGGAGCACCCGGCCAAGGGGGACCCAGGGCAAGGGGAGAGGTGGCATGGGACGACTGGGAGAGGGTTGGGCGTGTGTGGACCGCGTGACGAGACAGCACCGCCGAGTGGAGACGGCAGACGGTGCGAAACTCGGAGCGCCCCTAGATAGAGCAGCGGATGTGAGTGGATGGGCCAGAGATACAGCCCACCACAATTGGCGAGACGAGGCGAGGAATATAGGGCCTGAGGATAGGCGGGGTGAGTGAGGGAATAGAAGGGGGACTGTGCACCTGGATGTGCCCCTCCTCCTCCTCGTCCTCGCCTTCTAGCCCCTCCTCGTCGCTCCAGCCGGGGAGCCCCTCCTCATCGGGCTCCATCACCTCCAACCACTGCCCATACCAACGCAACGATTCGGTGTTGGTTCATGGATTGAGAAGTGGGGGGAAGCTGATTTGAAAACGGATAGGTGGTGAAGCCAAAAATTTGAGAGCAGATGAGACAAAGAGAGAGAGAGAGAGAGAGAGAGAGAAAGACAGAGAGACACATAGCCATAGAGTGATTACGAGAGAGACGACGTGAGAGAAAGAGAGCGAGAGAGAGCGAGAAAGTGAGAGAGAGAGAGAGAGCGAGAGAGAGAGATGTATGGAATTTTACCGGTATCTGTGTCAAAGCGTCGATAACGAAAAAGACGAATAGGAGAGCCCGTTTTGAGCTAATAAACTAATAAAGCTCTGTAAAATCCTTCCCCGAAAGATAAATTGTACACCCTCCTCCTTTTCCTAAAGCAATCGTGACGATTGAAATGCCCAAAAGATTAATGGCGCGCTCGGTAACCCAAGATTGGAAAGCCGATAATTTAGGTCAAGAGGCTCAGGGTGGAATTTGGGGCGTAATTTACCGTCATGAATTTCTCTCAAAGGGATAACGAAGGTCCGGTAGAACAGGGCTCATCTATAATTGGCGAGGAGCCAACTGGAAATGCTACCGCAAAAAAAATGGGGAGATTGTGGGCGAGGAAAGGGGAGCAGAAAAAATTTATGCTAGTTTTAGAGCTAAAGCCCGTTTCAAGCTAATTTTTCTGGGCCTTCCTGGTCCCTTTAAAGGTATTCAAGATCCAGGAATTCTAAGTTTTAGCCTTTCCACAAGATAAAGATGGTTCTCAAACGCCCGACAAGACAAATAGCCCGCTACTTGCCCCCGGTGACTGGGGCCAATCGACTGATTCTGAGGTGGGTGGCTGGTGTATGGCAGCCGGTGGAGTGTGAAGGGAATGAAGTGAGGGTGGAGACATGCGCGCGCGTGCCCGGGGTAGAAGCAACAAAAACACATATCGACCCGATGTGAGCAGGAGGGCGAGAAGGAGGGATGAGATCGGTTGCCTGTCTATCCCCGGCGGGTATAGAATGCGAAGCGTATGGGGAATCTAGAAAAAATCACGGCACGATGAAATTCTGATCTGAATCCCGACACATTGCGAATAGTCAGCCGCAGTTTTAGGGCTCTCGTGCTTTGGGATTTGTGAAGTTTGATTGTCGGGATTATGATTACCGAGACTTTGAATGTCCGGGTGGGGGAATGTCGAGATTTTTAGTGTAGGCATTTTGCCTAGGAAAAATCTCGACAATTTAGTATACCGAACTGCTCAAAGCCTACAAAAACGCAAAGAAAAATCTCGACGCAAGGGCCAAGGATTTTTGGCAGTATGTGCACAGGTAGGCGATTTGGCCGTTAGGGTTTTCCCCATGGGGTCTCTGCTATCTAGCTTTTTTCCATTTTTTCGGTCCATTTTTAGCCGTGTCGTCAACAAGTCCCAGTCTCAAACCACCAGAAAAAATCAGCGCGATGGGCTCGACAATCATTTTAGAGCCGTTGGCGATAACCAGTAAGTGTGAATTAGATGTTTTGACTTTTAAAATGTTTAGCAAAATGCTGGAAAAATTTCTGGATGACTATTCCGGCGATTTTGTCTTGCCTCCCGGGCGTTGGAAAGAGTTTGAAGACCGAAAGAGGGAGCTTCTTGGAAAGGTATACCAAATTCCAAATGCTCTACGTTTAGTATTGATTCAAGAAACATTATATTAGCTAAAACCTTAGTATTAAAATACTTTTGTAAAAAATTGATGCGCAAATCTCCTGATGCGCCGACAAAACGACTCCTTTAGTCACGACAACAGGCGGATTTTGCTGCAACTAGTCTCAAGCGGAAGAATTCGAAGTGCGAACCGACGGGCGAATAAACTATATGAATTTAACATTGTCTCTGTATGTATCTATTTTTTTTTGGCTATTGCTCCAATTTCTTGTAAATTCACAGTTTGATACAGGTTTCCAAATAAATAATCGAAAAATAAGGAAACTGTGTACTGCATGGTTATTTTTAAAGCCAAAACAATGGTAAAGCACAATTTCCAACATTTATTTATATATGGAAATAAACGCGTCGATTTACTCCTTGGTCTGGCAGCCAAAATCGAATTTTCTCTCCTTGTTCGGCTTCTTCGCGCCGATGAAATACACGGCGTAATCGGTGTTGGGCGTCATGTTGAGGGTGAAATTCTTTGCTGGGTCGGGTTTGATGCTTAATGGATGTGTTTTGCGTCTGAATATCTTGGATATGAAGCCAGTAACAAGTGCGCAAAAAACTAGCGTACGCCGCTCAACATTGCTGACATTTTCCGGGATAATTGAATCAAATTTTAGTGCTCTCATCGACTTACTCGGTCCTCTCCAACGTCTTCAGATTCCTCACGTACAGCTGATCCCCATCGGCCAAGCTTCCGGTTGCCCAGAAGTTCCTACCCTCCTTCACTCCGTCGCAGTACACATTGCAGACGTAGCTGAGCCCATCTGTGTTCTGAATTATCAGTCGTTTGGTTTTTTTGGAGTAGCCCATACCTTGGGGTAGACCTTATCGTACTTTGCTCCATTCGACCACCCGTTCTTGGCGTACAGAATCGTTGGATTGGGGCAGAGGAAAGCTGAAAAAAAACTGAGGTTGAGTTAATCATCGCATAAACTTAAGCTTAAAAAATTGATTTGAGCTCTTCCAAGCCTAGGAAAGCCAATCAAGTTAAGGTTTAACTTACAGTCCGTGTTCGGGAGTGCCGGGCTGGTCAATGTCAACGTGAATTCAGGAGTAGTCGTGTTGTATCTGACCCTTTATTTACCACCGCTTCGAATTTTTTCCTACCTGAATCCAACTGCCTGATCCGGGATCATAAACTCGAGCTTCTTCTCCTTGTTTCCAATCACCCTCAAAAAATTTGAATCCGGACTGAAAGCCGAAACTAACTCCAAGAAGTTTAGTCCCCTGCCGCTCAGCGGACGCTCGAAATCGAAGGCAGTATTGTAGAGCTTTCCGGCTTCCATTGTGGGCACTTCGAGGACCGCGTGGATGCCGTAGTATTGCCAGACAGTGAAATCCTGAAAATATGAATCGAATTCAATAACAAATAGCTTCGTTCTACTAACAAGGAGTGTCCTTTTGGTGTCGTCGGCAAAACGATTCGAGACCCAGCTCATTCGATAGAGAATTGAATTCTGAACAAGACTGTGTTGTTCATTTTTGCGGAATGGCTGCCCCTGATTTTATAGAATTAAAAAACCATGACACCATAATTCGTTTAATTTCGTATACCATTATACCATTATAAAATTCGTTTTGCCGATGACACCAAAAGGACACTCCTTGTAAGCCGATGATAAACCTTGGTTTTGCACAAGCCCAAGCATAGGCTTGGCTTTCTGCCGTGGTCAAGCTTGGTTTTGGTAAGCCCAAACCTTAGCTAAGCCTAAGCCTATGTCCAAAACTTACAATTCCATGCGCTAGGATATTGTGAACTACGGTGCCACCATATTTCTTCAGCAGCGCCTGATCTTTTTTGAGCACGAGTTTTCCGCCAGGAGCGCTGTAGATCT